TTTTGTATTAAAACATGCTTTTCTTTATTTTTCATGTTTTACATAATATATATATATATATATCAAATCGAAGTCACAAGTAGCCGATGTTTGGCTGCGTGACACCACACTTCGGTCTAATGAAATTTCTTTGTTAACACTGACCTATTCCCTAGCTTAATCGAAGCTTCGGGATTACATTTAAGTAGGGCTATTATATACGAACCTAGAAGTGCCTGTTTAGTTGAGACCTACAATGACCTGTCACTCCCAAATTGAAACGTTTCCACACATGCATGACAAAGGAACTATTTAAAGTATTTCGTCCTTCAAAATCCTTTCATAAAGATTTCTAAATACCTCCACTTATCCTTCGTTTAAAAATACATTAAATTGTGTTTCACCAAACGCAACACCCAGATCAGTTTGTCACCTTAATGGCTTGATCTCTGCAAACCAATTTATTTCCATTCTATTTTTGAAAATGTAACCCCCAGATAATTATGTTGCCATTATGGATTGATCTCCCCCGACAAAGTTAATTTGTATCGTGTTTTCTCAATTCAAACCCAGCAATTTTGAGATAAGTCGTTGAAGATCAGGGATGTAGATCAGTGTACTCATGTGGATGGAAGTGAAGCGAACATACACATACTCAACTTACTGAAGCGCAAAGATACATTAAAGGGATCGTTTAACAATGTTAAATCTGAGATACACGGTCCTACATGTCACCAGTATCTGTGATATGGTGTAATATTGAAGCCCTTAAAAAAAAATCGCGCTTCAAAATGATCAAGTAGTGCCTCAAAAAAGTAAAAATCTTTGAGTGACCGGTTTTACCATACTCGTTTTCCCTAATAGACTTTAGTGTTATGAAAACCGTTCGGTGAACGGTTTTCAAAATTTATAATTCCAATCTTGATAATCAGACAGGTGATCGGCTTGTAAAAGTCATGGAGTTTCCTGACTGACCTAAAGGTTTATAATTATCATTGCAGCATGAGCAAAATCAAGGATTATTTCTAAAGGATCTAAGACAAAGACAACATTACAAAGAGGTGGATTTGCTGAATGACTGAATGAGTCGTCGGCATGTATTATCTTCATTGCAAAAGGAGACAATTTGGAATGGTTGAATAATGATGAGATTATGCTAAACGACAGGAGACATTCGCTTAGGTATTGATAGCGAGGAGATGCAGACATGTTTTATCAGCAGTGCAAATGAAGACAATTTGAAGCGATTTTCCCGAACGACTGCCTTCTTCATAAGGAGACATACATGTAGGAGTAATGAAAAGCGGTACATTTTTGTAGAGGTACCGGATATATTAAAATTAAAGGGGGCCGGCACAGTTCTAAAAATCTCTGATAAGCAGGAAACAGGGTATCTTTTTCTCTTTGAGGGGGGGGGGGGGGTGGGGCGTGTTTGGCAAATCAAAGGATAATGTGGATGAGAAGGAACATTAGAAGGGAGGGGGAGGAGGAGGAGAGTGGGGAGAAGGAGTGAGAAGGAAGGTGAGAATGGGGAGTGTGGTACAAGAGGTGCGATCTTTCGTTGTTGAAAGACCAAGGAGGTAGGAGGAGATGCCGATGAACCTCTGCCTGTAGGAACACAATTGGACAAACGCTCTACTCTATAAAAATCCGGACCTCCCCTCCCCGCCGTATACTTGAATTTTTCGGTAGCATTCTCGTCCGCCCCTCGAGGGTTTTGTTAACGACCTTGTAATATGAATCTACGACCTCTAAAGCGATATATGATACATCACAGGGTTTATAACGAGCAGTCAAATTATGGGTGAGTGAAAGGTTTATGGCCTGTCGTTGTCATGGCTATTCGACAGTATTGGATTTATCGGAGGGGTGGGGGCGCACTATCGGCACATTGCCCTTTTTAACCCAATCTGGCACCCCCTATGAACGCAAGTAAACTTTTAAAACCATTTTTTCCTTCTTCTTCTTCTTCTTCTACTTCTTCTTCTTCTTCTTCTTCTTCTTCTTCTTCTTCTTCTTCTTCTTCTTCTTCTTCTTCTTCTTCTTCTTCTTCTTCTTCTTCTTCTTCTTTGTAGGTCCTCTGCTTCACCCCTCTCTCTCTCTCTCTCTCTTGCCTGTCACTTGTCCGATATTTGTCATGATTTGATTTGATTTGATTTGATTTGATTTATTTATTTTCCACTCAAATATCCACAAATTAAATGACATATATAAACCATACAGTAATACAATATATAATAGAACAAATGAATTATACAAGTAACGAAAAACTGACAAGTATGTTCGTAATCAAATAAGTTTACAAAGTACATTTATGTTTGAGAATTAAACAACATATTTTAAATTGCTTGATTTAACTGAGAGGGGAAAAAAGGGAATCTCAGAAAAGCTAGGCTTGTTGAGCGAGATTCCCAGTATAAATTAAATAATGGACCATCGTCAACGTGCATCAATGATTGTGACCCCTCCCCCTTTACGAAATGGGGATCCGCCCCCGCTACTCTTGATTCGACGGGGAATAGGGGGGATTGGGGGAGGGGAGGGATGAATATGACGAGGAGGTTGGTAGGTCATTGGATAAAAAAGCCTTTACAATACAATACATGTACATTCAGGTCATGGTCGTGGTATAGACAAAAAGAGAATGAAATGGGGGGGGGGGGGTATTTTGGTGTCGATGCACGCATAAAGCATGGACCTACTAAAGGTAAGACTGATAATTACTGAGAGAGAGAGAGAGAGAGAGAGAGAGAGAGAGAGAGAGAGAGAGAGAGAGAGAGAGAGAGAGAGAGAGAGAGAGAGTATTGGTTATTCGTTGATTCATAATTTAACGGGTATAATAAATTTATCTTGAACTCCTAATGGTTTGAAAAGAATTATAAAACTATCCTAATTCCTATATCTTCATCCATTCTATATATTATTATTCCGACCATTTCTCTTTCTTCAGAAGAGCCTACATAATTTGTCCTGAACTATTTTTCACATTTCAGAAGCTGCCCTAAACTTTCGACCCGTGACCCTCTGTAATCCTCTTTGATATTCCATAGCGATTATTGAGATATACCGTGCACCGAGTGTGCTGTTACCATGGTAATTGAGCCAATAGATGGAGCCGGGAGAATAGGAGGACCCAACATGCCGGTTGTAATGCTACCCCCCCCCCCCCCGAAATAGAACACGAACAGAAACAAGGTTTGTTGAGTATACACATTCAACAAAGAAGACAATATTGTTTAGGGAAGGTATGATTTCTCATCGGCTCAATGGTAGAGTAATGGATGTTCTATTATTTCATCACTATTTCATGAAATTATTTTATGTGATCTGTTTGTTAATTTGTCAGCGAAAAGTGCCCCAAATTGCTATGTTTCTGCGATAGGAGATAACCCTGTCTGCTTCCTGCTTTGTGATTGCATGAATCATTTAACTTGCCTCTAGGTTTCAGTAATTATCTGTTTCAAGACTCTACAACCTTGCTCACATTACAAGTATTGGTAATACAAATAGTTTTGTTTTGACCAATCATCAACGGAAGACAGTAAAAGGACCTTGTATTTATTACGTAATAAAGACGAACTACTATGAACGTGACAGATACGACACGTTTGGTGTAGTATTTCCTCAAAAGAGTCGGAACAAGGAGTTATTACACCTCCTCGGTCAGAACAAAACGCAACCCCCTAGCTTATAACTAATAACTGATTCATCATCCTATCAGAGTTACTGCACCTTATGATAATCATTTTTTAAATTGTAAATTAGTAAAAGTCTGGTTGAGAGCCAGAAGGGCATTCAACTAATATACACCAAAGTCCTTTTTGCTCACCCTTGATTGTAAACTAGTCTCAGCATGACCATGAAGACGTTATGCATCACATATACAGTAACACCAAGAATTGACAGGCCCCTCATGTTTCGATATTAACACCCCCTTCCTCCCCCTTACTCCTTTCCGAAAGAAATTAATGTAAGATTTTAGTGATTTTACTTGATATTACTTGATATGTTGCGTCAAGTAACGCCTGGCTGAATGCTCCCCAGGGAGTGGAGAATGTGCACACAGTGTGTGCGGGCAAGTATTGAATCCAATGACCGGGGTTATAGTAAATCTGTAAAGCGCTCAGAGATATCGTAGATGTATTAAGCGCTATATAAAAGCGGAGTATTTTTATTATGTATAACAAGAAACTTTTAAACCGGTGAAAGTTTAAAAGTGTAAACAGATTACTTCTCGAGTTGGTTTGTTTGTGGGAACATTATTGGTCGCTCCCACTCATTTTGCTTTTCTGTCTGATAGTTCCACCACGGAACCTCCCTCGGTTTCAGGTGTTGTGACCAGAGAACTGTATCTTTTGTTATGATTATAGCTCTGGTGTGGACTTTGGTGTTAAAGGTAAAGACCAGTAATGGTCATGCGATTGCATTGTGAAAGAAACGTTGTGGAATCGATCAGAAAAGGTTGATCATCTAGCATCTAGCATCTGCAAGGTTCTGGAATCATCAAAATGATAAGAAATTTGGCCCATTCTTCGTAAAGTTACAAGCACTATACACAGAAAGATGTATATGGGACTACCCTATCTCTCTCACACGACCATGAGAGAAATAAATTTACCAAATATATGAATTAGTAGGCGGTTTCCCGGCAAATTTTTTATCATCATGTATTAGTCAAAACATATTCTTTCACATGATTGGTAATGAGAGCTTCCATTTCATTTTATGAAATTGGGGCGTTACCAATACTGGTCTTTACCTTTAACCGAATGAACACCAACCTTGATCTGTCTAGAGACTTGCCACTTTATTATGTTAATAGCACCTTACACCGGTAGGGGAGAAATTAGTTTTGTTCCTTTACTTAAAGTTATACCAACGGCCTGCATCCGACGTCGCACAGACAGGTAATAGACATTTCCTTCTCATTTAGTGGCACTTTCTTGTGAAGCCATTAGCGCTGGGGACATTGTCAGGCAGGTCATGTGACTGTATTTGTCTATGTTTTGTCTACCTTGCAGGTAAACACAGTGACGGATCGAGAGCAATACAGGTGAGAGGGAGAGGAAGGTCGACTGAGCCGAGGAGAAAATGGAAATACAAATATCAGCTCTGCGAACAGTTTACTATTCCAGTGTTTGCATTAGAGGTTGAAGGAGGAAGAGGATAGGCAATCGCGATTGTTTATTGTTAGAGAAGGTAATGTTTGGTTTGGCACAGGGAAATCCACGAGCGTGGTCCGCGGAGAAAGACGCGCTGCGTTGACAGACAACGGCCTTATAGGGCAGGCGGCAAAACCAACAAGCACACCGCTGCAGCCGCTGAAAGCCGATTAATTATTAGTGGTGTGATATGGAGCCAGGCAAAGTCACGGAAGTTCGAGAAGCTCACTGTTGTCTACTGTAGTGGTTACAAGTTTTAACGAATGGGGACATTCATTTCAATGGAGCGACTAATGAGACCTAAACATACAAGTTTAAGGTCCATGGAAAGTTGAACAAATTACCCCTAGCGGTTGTTAAGGACTTCGTTTGTGGACAGCATCACCACGCGTGCACTTTCACATTAGCCTGCCATCGCACACCAGTACAGAGGAAAACTTCTTGGTTCTACTTCTAGTAAAATTAACATCTACACTTTATTTCTCTCGGTTATGTTTTTGAGCACAGAGCAGAGGCCTACATTATTTTGTGACTGTGAACAATCCTTTTTGTGTGCGTAGAATGGAAATTGAAAGCGAATGTTAGCTGAGCTGTGCTGCATGGTTGTATAAGGGACCCGTGACTTTTTCATAGCTTTCTAGCTCTAGTTCTACCACTAGATACCAAATCGCACACGCTATCGGAGAAGTCGGAGCAGCGAGTTGAGCGAGATTAAAAAGTGAGCTATTCGAATCATCAATTGGAACGCGATAACAATAATTTAATGATTCTCGTGTCTTCGTCCATCTAACTGCAGTCTTCCGTTGATTATCATTAAATGTATACTTCCTCTGAAAATAAGTTAACTGTTCGATTTAAGTCGGTCCTTGGGATTTAATACGCTCATTAATTTCGTCTGAGCACCGAAGCCAAGAAAGTACAACTGTTCAGATGTTCGGCTTTCATTGTCTTCGTTTAAAACTTTAAAGAGGAGATGATTTGCCCTATTAGCTAAGTGCAACACTACATGATACAAACGGTTCGTCTGGGGTAGACGTTTTGATTCAATTTATGTAAGTCAGCAGAAGTATACATGTGGCTCTGGCTCTGAAGCGAAACATTAAACAAAATCTTCAACTTTAGTGTTCTAAAGTTCTGAAGAAATTGCTCTGATTCTGAGCAAAATATTTAATTACGATGACTTGGAGCGGTGGACATTGGCGTATGCACAAGGTGCGTTTCGCATTCAAGACCGGGTTCATCGTAACGCTTTCCTTCTGCCTCGTCCAGCTCGTTTGGTTACCACGACCACCGTACCAACGTCGAGATGATGTCGCCATCCAGGGGGCATTGAAAAGGAAAGCCGACGTCATTGACTACTCGTCTATTCAGGCTCTGGAATCGGGCCCCGTCGCGAAGTCGACAGGACAAAATGGCGCTCAAAGAAAGCTGTCGTCGGAAAGTGAGGCCGATCAGTTCCCGCCAAATTTTGGGCAGCAGAGGCCTGGGAAATTTAATAATGGAATAAATCAGGATGTTGGGTCTGCGCGATTTGATAGGAAGTTGGAGAACTCGCGTGCTAGTTTTGATATTCCAGCTTTAATCACCAATGGTCAAGATCAAGAAACTCCAGGAGATAAACTGAAAAGAGAATTCGAAAGGTTTCAAAATCATAAAAGAAAGACAAGACTGCAGCAACAAAAAGGTACGTGATATTTCATTAAACTTGTTTTTTTCTTTTGTTTGCTTATATTCCCTTGTATTTTACCTTGTGTGCGTCACGTAACTTTGAAATCCCAGTCTTTTGTGTTTATCTATTTGATTTGTTTAGCTTTCGATGATTTTTTTTTGAAACCTTCAATAACCTAAGCTTCATTCAGATTCAGATTCATTCAGATTCAGATTTATTTTATATTATTGGTTCATGTGGAAATTCATTTTGTCGGCATTACGTAGAAGGAAAGGGGGAGCAACGTGAAAGAAATGTGAGAAGTTTCATTTAGAATGATGTAATCACTTAGAAACACAGTTACAAATGAACTTGGTATACATTGGAACATCACTTAAAGGGGAAGTCCCACCTGATATTTACGTAAGTTGGTTTTAATTGAAGTTTTAAAGGTGTAATCAATCAAACGCAAATTGGCAACTCTGTGATTTATTTTGCGAGCTCCTCCCCTTTTTGCCCTGTACTAACAAAAACTTCAGAAATGTATATGTTCCTTGGCTTAAGAAATTATGAATCATTCACTCACCCTAAATATAATTATTGCAGAGCAATGCAAATACGTATAAAACAAATATATTCCGTCATCAATAACTAAGAAAATGAAAGATTATGACATGTTTTGTATAGAGCAAATTAGAGAGGAGCGTGCAAGATACGTCACAGTGTTGCCAATTAGGGTTTCACTGATGAAAACTTCAAAAAATCTCATTTCTAATCGCATATTTTTTAATTTGTATTCCTCATTTTCAGCTTTTATTTTAATAAACCAATTCAATATCAGGGTGGACTTCACCTTTAAATTTGTAGGCTTTATATAATACCGAATAATGTAGGTCGTATTCCCGTTTTATCATTTCACCATGGAGGCCTACTATGTGTTTCTTTTGTGAAGAACCGGTTGTAATGCCACCATTCGCAACATTTCGTATTTCAGATAGCAGTAAATCATCGTATGGTTATACGCTCGGAAACAAAAACCCTTGAAACGAAAATAGAACAATTTGTATCGAGAATCATTAGAAAGATTTATTGCTGGAGCCTTGATAAACTTATGTGAATTTGTTATATTCATGGCATGAAAGAGTGCAAAATGCGTGTCGATTAAGTTTATTCTTTTGTAAAGATCTTAACTAGCACTATCAAAAAAGCGTTTCGTAATTATCCATGGGAATTTCTTCAAATTCGGGAGAAAACAAATATTATATTGCTAAGATTTTATTTCACAATTTAGGTACACTTTAAAAATGGAAAATATTCATGTATTCTCCCTGTGCAGGCGTATGACTGGCTGCACATATTTAGACAAAGAGTTTCCTTAAGGTTTTGTTCACCCAGGTCAGAAGTTGAATTTTCCTCTGTAAAAGAAAGAAAGAAAAAAGTTTTTTGATGGTATTTCTGAAATTCACAACTAATTTGCTTTTAATTCTTGAACAAGTTATAGAGAAGGGGGAAACATCTTGAAACACAATACGCCCTGTATTGTTCCTTTCATTTTAACTTTTTAGCGACGTGAAGGCTTTATGTTTAATTTAAAGAGTGCGAAGTTTCTTATCGAAGACTGGAACGTCCAGCAAAATCGAATTAGGAGTGGAAAGGTTAATCTGATAAGCTATAATGGAGCGTAACGAGATGAAAATTGGAACCATACTGACTCTCTTGATTCAATCAATGATGCCAGTATTCGTGTGGGCGTAGCCGACATTTCACACCTTCGCTTGCCTATAAACTCCATAGGAGGATTCGCAAATGTAGCCTAGGTTGTTCGGATGTGTGGGGTGGAGTGCATTCGGACAGTCGGTGGGGGGGGGGGGGGCACCCCCAGTGGCGTATCCATCAAAGGGTGAAGCTAGTCGATGCCCTTACCCCCGCAAACCTTCCCTTCGTTTTAGAGTAATTACACTAGTCTCGGTCACGGAGGGGTGTTCCAGAATTTTAATTTTAAAAACTGCACTAAGAATCGAGCTAGAGCTATAATGTCCTTGACACACGATGCGTCATTTCTCTGACGTAGGACTGCGTCAGGAACTGGCGCAGTCTTTGACGTATCATGTAAGGGTGATTACGGATATCGTACACGAACTAGATGCAAAAGGTAAAGTGAAACGTATTCCGTGGTGATACTCAATTCACCCTAAAATTACTGACGTTACATAAGTTACCAATTCCCTTCATATGTTTGATTAGCGCAAGCAAAAACGCAATCGAAATGACGGATCATGCGCGACGGATATACCAAAGCTTTAATCAAACCAGGGAGGTGATACATGTCTCACCTCCCTGATCAAATCAATCTAGCTATGCAATGTATGCAGACTCATCATTCCAAATATTCAAGGCAGTCATGTTATTCATAGATCGACCTTGTTCCCTTTACGTCCACCAATTTATCACCGTCCTAATCTTAATGTAAACTATTTAATTTGTCTGGCAACAAGAGTGGACAGGGATGAGTGCTCCTTGACTTTTTCCAAAGCACAGCACATATTTTATTGTAGTAAAAGATAAATTAGCCCCTTTTGTAAATTGTATTCAAATAGTTTTTCTTTGATTTCAACACTAGTACAGACGCTTGAAAAGATTCCCAATTGTTTTAAAATGTAGTTTGCTAGTGCTACACTCGTTAGAATCTGGCGGTTGTGGCGTTTTTAAGCCTTAATAATTCTATTTCATCTCATCTGTATTCGAACACGATAGCTCGCTTTTAAAGGAAAAAAGGCCACTATAAATTCATTATATGCATTCCGTCTGGATAAAGACTAGAGAGAAAATCTCCAAATTTTTTCAAAATCATGATTTTTATTCGGTCAGGCATTTATAGTTCATGTGCCAACGCTCTAAAGGGCAATCCCCGCCCCCATGGAGACACACATCACATGCAAACATACAAATATTTTGCACCCCGACCTGAGTGTCGAATACAATTGATTCTGGCAGGTATTTTTCATGACCTAGATCGAGATAACGAAATGATATAAATCATTTGATCGGTGGGATTCACTTCATAAACATTATTTTGGCAGGCAGTTTTGGAAGAAAAGGGTACAGCCGTACAGGCTCGTTAAAAAAGCTTTTCACTTCTCACAATTTTATATGACCAATGGTGCTGGTAGGTGAATCGTTGTGGCTTATAATGTATGGGGGAAATAGTTGAATATTGTAAGAAAAACGACTACATGTCGATCAGTATAACAAGAAAGAAATGTGTAACTCGATGCAAACTACATTGTATGAATACATATGAAATAATACTTGGGATTATCCTAAGGCTTATGGATACAATTTTACTGGAGGGTATAGGTGTTGTCGCTTGCCCGAATATCAACTTCCAAAGTTTTTGATTTTGAGAGCGAGCGAGTATTTTGACAATATTTTTTTGTATAAGAGTTAACATGAAATGTTTATGATAAACGATAAAGTTACGCATACAATCTAAAAAAAAGAGGAGACACCTCTCCCCCGCCCCGCCGCCCTCGGATCAATGATAATCAGTGCTTACACATCGCCACTCCAATATTCCAGACAATAATGCTGATAGATGAGAATAATTATGGCAGTATGGAGACACTAATCATTGTCACTATTTGCAAACTCGAGCTGATGAGGATAGGTTGTCTCGGTCTATCTCATGTCTATTTACATTTCGACGAACATAATCTTCTTAAAGTGTTTTGATGATGCAAGAGTTTACTCAGTCTTCTTGATCAAATTATTTTTAACTGATCTGACTCGGCCGTCTCAAAGATTTATTCCAGGAATACGTACAGATTATTAGATATTATACAATACAGTTAATCACTGGCGAATCTGGAAGGGGCGGGGGCTCGGGTGCTGCGACTCACAAAAAACTTTATTTGCCTTTGCTACACAATTCAAAGTTCCAAACTACAAACGTAAAATATTATCAAACCCACCCATTATTAAAACATGTTCAATCACGGAGCCCAAAACGTATATCATCTGGAGGGTGTTTCACAAACATCCTAAGTTGAACTTATCTTTAAGTTGGACTTAACAATTATGGAAAGCCATCAGCATCTTTGAAAATATTTTGGGAACGTTATTTCATAAATGCATAAAATGTTGATTCAAATCATTCATATTTCTATTATCAATGAGATTTCATGTTCTTGATGTGGAATTTATAAAAAAAAAAGTCTAAAATACTTGAATTTTCGCTTTTGAATATATTTTACTTCAAGGCTACAAATGGCTGTCCATAATATTTAAGTCCAACTTAAAGATAAATTCGATTTGGGATCTTTGTGAAACACCCCCTAAACTATTAAACTTCACCTTTCCTCGTCCCCTGCCAATCATCTTCCAAGTCCACAAGGGGTGACATGTCACTTGTTTGTTTTATATAAAAACATGTACGACTACTGACAGGCAATTACCAAAGTCATCACTCGTCGCAATCCGGTCCTGACCTCCCAACGGAACAGTTCAAAACTGATCGAATCTCCCCCGATTTTTAATATGTCTATGCTGTGTATTTCATTCAATTCTAAAGTTAATGGGCTGTAATTTTTTTGCAAAATTGAACGTTGAAGTTGATGTTTGATACCGTTTTCATTCACGGATTCATATTGCGGAAGAAGGCTTTCAAATATTGCTTATGGGGGATAATTCCTAATTTCCTTTGATTTTTTATTTAAATGGAACATTGGCTTATCAAGGAATTGACCGGCAGTGCATACAGCTCAGGAAGGAGGGGGATCCTCACTGATTGAGGGCGGGGGCTTGAATGCTTCTGGGCAATCCCGCCTGCGATAATTCCCTGCAAGTTGTATTGCTTTTAATGGGCCTTCAAACATTGGAGGGGTCGGTCGGCTCGCCACTTTAGGTCTCCCCCTCTCCCCCCCCCCCCTTTCTCTCTTTCTTTCTCTCTCTATGTCTCCCTCTGTCTCTCTCTGTCTCTGTCTCTGTCTGTCTCTCTCTCCCTCTCTCGTTCTCCCTCCCTCCATCCATCCCTCTCTTCCCCTCTCCATCCCCCACTCTCCCGTTGCCTCTTTCGGGCATTCCCCTTCCTCTTCCCTACTGCCCTTTCCGCCATATCTCTCTGCCTCTCATTCTCACCCCTCCCATCTCTATCTCCAATCACCCCCGCCCTATCATCTCCCCTACATCCCTCTCTCTCTTTTCCCCCTCCTCTCCTTCGACGTATAATATTTGCTTCTCCCTGTCACTTTCATTTGACTACACAGTACACACAATATCTTGAGACGTTTTTGAAGTATACAACCCTCAAGAGTGGTACTCATATGCGATACAATGACAGATCTTGTTAGCGTTGAAAGTGAGGAAAATGAGAATTGCTTTGAAATATATAATCGGGTAGAATATCTTGTCCCCCGCATGGGAGGGTATCGATATGAGGCAGGATGCCCCTTTTCAGCGGGGCTTTTGTTTCAATGACACCAGAGGTCAATAACGATTTTATCAAACTACACCACACCCTAGTTCAATGCAAAGGGTAACGATGCTTTGTTTTTATTCTGATATAACACGTGATGACCATGATGGTGTTTGAACCTATACCTCCATACGTCGTGCATGAACCATTGTACAATGTAATTACTATTTTCTTTCCTCATACTCATAGAATCAATTTCTAGACTTTTCACAGTGATTAGCTCACATTTTAGCATTTCCCGCAATCTGTGATACTACAGTTGCAAAAAAACATTTATTTATTTTCTTTGAGCCGTCATCAAATTTGGATATTTATTTTGGGCATTTAAAGGGGAAGTCCACATTGATAGTTGGTTTCAATAGAAGCAGAAAAGTGAGAGAAACAGGTCAGTGAAAGTTTGAGCAAAAACACATAACATGGTAATGTTGATGAGCAACTCAACAACACTTTAGGATTGTATTGGACAAAATGACAAATGGACAAAGTAAAAAGAAGGTGTTTATACCTCGTTAAAGTGCTGGTGTTAGACGAAGTGCTATTAGACTACAAATTGGCATTAGACCAAATGGAATTAGACGAATTAGTAATAGTCCAAATGGCAATTTCTCCCTTCAGACATCATAAAAGTTTAATGCTGATGAAGCGTAATGTGTATTGACCGTACACACATCCATGACATTGACCTTGTCTGTGGGGTTCCACTTTACTCTGTATCCAGACTTCGTGGGAACTCTACCCGATACCTCCCCGTCAAAGTAGGCCTACATCATGGTATTATAGCCTCTTGTTCAAATAGAATCTTTATCTCTTTTGATAAAATGATTTGATATATCCTAGTTCATTGCACATGTAAAGTTCTGTAACTGCGCCGTCAATATAATAAGTATAAAGAATAAGCATCCGTTGCAAGTTAAGTCATTTATCCTGCCGAAAAAATGCCCAAAACGATAATTGTTAGAATTAAGTCCGTTTATTAATCATGTAACTAGTTGCATTAAACATGTACAATGTTTTTTTAATGTAATGACATATAATATGTGAAATTATGGTGTACTCGAGTAATAATCCCCTTTCACTTTTGTAGCCATGTAGACAATTTTCATAATTTTTGACGTCAATAGGGAATTTTGTTTGAGACATACCCCCTCCTTCTCACACACACTCTCTCTCTCTATCTCACTCTCTCTATCTCCCCTCTTTCTTATTCTCTCTCTCTCTCTCTCTCTCTCTCCAAGAGGAGGCGCTCTGGGGGGGGGGGGGGGGGCTGGAGGGGCACAATGCCCCTACTTTTTAGGCTCCCCTAAAGTTCGCCTTTTTAAATTCAGATTAGTGCCTATTTTTCTTTCAAAAGGTGCCCCTTATATTTTGACAAATGCCCCCTTTCCCGTGTCATAAATGGCCCTTTTCACTCCTTACAAGTACCTTTTTTAAATCTCTGATAAGTGCCTATTTTACTTTGACACGTGCCCCTTTTCCTTTCTAATAAGTACCCTCTTTCCCATTACTTAATAATGCCCCCTTTATACCCTTGACAAGTGCCCTAATCCAAATCTGATAGGTGCCCCTTTTACCTTTACAAGTGCCTTTTTCCCATTTAATAAGTGCATTTTTGCTTTCTAAGAATTGCCCCTTTCATCTGTGATAAATGCCCTTTTCAAGGTATGAGAAATGCCCCTTTCTGTGAAAGGCAGTGTAGCCGGGGGGGGGGGTGGGGGGGGGGCAATGTGCCCTAAATTTAATTAGAACGAACTGTGCTCCTTCAAGAAATACAATCGTGCTCGTTTTCAAAGCTATTAATTGTTCTCTAGATACCTGTATGTATAAGAAGTTTGCCACTTTAAACACTTTTAAGAGATGCATTTTTACAACCTGTCATCCTTTAAACTTGATGTCTTTTTGAACCTCATGTCCTTTTGAACTTCATAGAGTGCCAAGGTAATCAATTACCCTTTGTTCAAGAATATAAAGGTTTAGACTAACTCAGGCAACTACATTTACATTACCAAATGGCATTCATGTTAAAAAGACTGAGACATAATCTCTTTCTTTCTCTTTCTCTCTCTTGTTCTCTCTCTCTCTCTCTCTCTCTCTCTCTTTCTCCCTCTCTATCTCTCCATCTATGCTACTACTTTTGGAGACTGTTTTTTAAAACTTAATTTCCCTTTACTTCCTGTAATTGATATCATATACTGCCCACACTTTCATATCTCATTTCAATCAAATACAATTATAAAGCTTATACAATACAAATTACAAAAATTAGTTCTGAACTTGCGACAGTTCATGGTTAGATTTTGGTTAGTAGGGCATAATCGCAAACGAAACGGAATTACGATTGTAGCCTATTTATTCGCATCGGATGTATGGTTCACAGTCTGTATAATCTCTACCCTGAACCAGGGACTTGGAAGACATATCTGCATTTTACAAATGTAAGCGGTGGGAATAAATGTTAGACAGTAGGTAACACATTTGTTGATTCAGATTTTACGTGTACTATAGATTTGCCTTCATTTTTCTTCCTCCATAGAATATTTTTATTTCTCAATCTTCGCCATAAGACCTTTAGTTCTGGGCCAGGAAGGCGTTACGTCTTAGTTAAAATATTTTAATTAACGCCATTCTGTCTTCCAACAAAACTTTAGTAACGTAAAAGGAGAATCATTGAATTTGTATGCTTGATTTTTTTCTTCTTGTAACGGGAGAGTGGTTGTAGTGTAAAACGAAAAAATAACGTGAAAAAGATGTTTAACCCTTCTTAAAATAAATAGAGGATTCCTATCTATTTCTGTACAACGAAACTTTCATTTTCCGTTCATAAATGTAACGGATACTCTTTCAAAATGTATTATCCCAATGCAACTTATCAGTGTTTAATCGTACTTGTCTTATAAAGATAGGCCTACATGTATTTTTAAATTACATTTCTGAATTTAATTCTAGGCGAGCCTAAAGATGAAACGCATCAGGTGTTTGTACAAGTCAACAGAACCAGAGCAATATCGGCGCTTTTCAACGATGAGCACGACATCTCTAAAAACAGAAATGATTTCTCCGGAGTTAATGGACAAACAGTTAACAAAAGGACTCTACCATTTGAGGATCCGGGTTATGTCTGGAGGGAAGATGGGCTAGGAGAAAATGGAAAGGGTGTGGTGGTTGCACCTGAGGATAAGAATGTGGCGGATGAGTTATTCAAGAAGCACCAGTTCAATGTTTTTGCCAGTGACCAGATAGCATTGAATCGGACGCTTCCAGATCATCGTCCTCCAAGGTAAGACTACCACGCCTCTGATAACACCCTTTGACCACACCCCCTTTGACCACACCCCAATGCCCATCTCCGACCCATTGTGTTCCAAACCCCAGTTAATCGCCTCCCCTGACTTTACCACACCACACCACGCCCTTGCGAATCATTGACCCCAAACCCTAACGGCCACGTCTCTTGACCACACTTTACCACTCTCTTTGACCCTCAGTGAAGGTGCTCCAGACTCAAGCCCACCATGTCCCCTGGTTCTAAATCCCCCAGCCCCTGCCCCAACCCATGACCACACCCTACCTATTCACCATGCTATTTGATACCTCTTCCCCTGAACAATTCAGTAAGGATCGACGCCCATGACCACACCCGATCACGATCTTGACACTTGTTATTTTTAATTTAACAAAAACTGATTTTTTTTTATTTTTTATGTGAGACATAACTGTACGTTGACGTTGATAAAAATGGCTTTGCTATAGTATAATGTTTAGCCAGTGTACTTATATTGAAGAAATCAGTTACACTAATTTGTTCACAGTGTTGGGCACACTGATTCGATTAACTTCTTCCGCTTGATGTTGACTTCATGAATAATAATGAAAAACAATAACAGAAATAAAGATCGAAGTCGTAAATGATGGAAGAGTAATGCAGTATAATCCTATACAATCGTCCCTTACTAGAGCCTTCCGCGCTCCTACTCAATTTTTTTTTCTCTCAAATATAATTTCTTTGTCCATTTCATCATCCTTCCCGACAACGCAGGTGCCGAATGTTTAGATATCGCCACGACCTCCCCAGCGCTTCGGTCATCATCGTTTTCCACAACGAAGCTAAGAGCGTGCTTCTTAGAACGATCTGGAGCGTCATCGTACGATCACCGAGGCACCTTCTGGAGGAGATCGTGCTGGTCGACGATGCCAGTAGTCTAGAAGGAGGTATAGGACCGATAATTTTTAGGACTTTATACTAAATAGCAAATGTTGTAGGTTACATTAACGAGTTCCATGAGGTAAATCAAAATGATATTATGTAAATGAAAGCCTGGTCACTACCACTATCACTATAATTGGTTTTCAATATTATACAGTCATATATTGCCCTTACTTGGACAATATAAGCTCATCCTACTATTCTAAAAACAGAATTTTATTTTAGCATGCGAAAAATCTTTACGTAAGTGAACCAAATTCTTTAAGTTTCATGCCGCGAAATAATGAAATCTTATCACTGATTTTGGTAAATATTCACAAAGGCTTCTTGCCATTAAAATCTCTATTAAAGGTTATAACTTATTTCGAAAGAGCGATGAAAGTTTGAGGAATATTTCGTTGATCAAACTGTATCGGTCCCTTCGGAATTTGCTTCCCAGCCGGTTAAATCAAAATCTTAAATATATTGACCATACTCATTATTTTACCCGTCTCTTTGCATTTGATCTGAAACCGCTTAAGGAACTGGGTCTTATCAAGGAAATGTTTTCTTGGTCAGACTTTTCCGTTAACTTCCTTAATTATGTTATCGCCATGCACATGGTTGATAAGATGTATTGAAATTGCAGTAACTTTCCCATATTGAAAGGAAATTACAAGCATGTGTCCGAGTAGTACCAGACTACTGCAAGTACTGGTCAGATTGATTTCAATAGCACTTGACATGTCTGACCTTCCGGCTACTTTACAAATGACCAGGGCACTCCGGACACAACCTTTCATATATAAAATGACCCTTGACAAGGATAATTATAATGACCCGTTGCATGTTTCTTAAAGAGACCTCATGGCAATTTCTGTGAGGTCGTGTCATACTCGGACGTTTAGATATTTCCTTCTTTAAAAAAAAATATGTTAAGAACTTTTGTACCTGGCTTCGACGAATAATTTGTCCTATTCGTTGACCCGACATTTTTTCATGGGAGAATTGTTCCGGACTTTATATCGTCAGGTATATGGTTAGGGTTAGGGTTAAAATTGGGTTTTGCACAAAACCATTATACCTGACTACGTTTATTTTACTGTACGCCGTTTTACTAGTCAACCTGCCATTTGGGAGACGTTGCTATTATTGTATAATCCCTCTTTCTACATCAGGATAGCAAATCCTTCATCATCACATCTCTGATTTTAAATCATCATCAATTTTCGTTATTCTTCAGAAGATTGGTATAGGGGCTGGCTCGAAGATTACATCTCCCATCTTCCCGTACCTACGCGGTTGCTCCGCATGCCGCATCGTAGCGGAGTCGTAGGGTCCCGACTCGCAGGAGTGTCGGCAGCAAGTCGTAATGCTACCGTGCTTGTCTTCCTGGACTCGCATTGTGAATGTACGGAGGGGTGGCTGGAACCGCTCTTGGACTGCATCAATAGAAACAGGTTTGTTTGATAAAACAGAGAAATGAAAAAGTATGGAAATCTTCCGAGTTGGGAAGCAGGTCGGGATAGCTTTGTCGAACTCTTAGAGCACACTGAAAACAGATCGGGTTAACTCAGCAGAACCTGTAGGGCACTATGGAAATAGATCGCGATATAATCTGAGAAACAAATCACTATAAACCTTTGCACAATGTGGAAATTATTTGGGGAAGAAATCGAGATAGACCTGTACAACTTGTGAATAATATACGAATCGAACGGGGAGAACTCTGCGCAACTTGTTGATAATATTAAGGAGACAAATCGGGGAAACTTCACATAACTCGTAGATAATTTACGAAACAAATTAGGAGATCCCGATAAAAGTTTGGAAACAAACCGGGATAGTACTGAATAAGTAGATAATTCGGGAAACAATTTGGGAAAGGTCTGCACAAGTCAGAGATCATTTGGGAAATCGATTGCTATTAGTTGGTTTATATACCTCGCGAGTTTGTGATAAGTTTCGAAATAAATCGAGATAACTTTGAACATGTCTTTATTTGTTAACACTCCCAGTTTAAAAACGATTTGAAACGTGTTAAACTGAGCTGCCCAGAGTTGTTACAGAGTTCTTTACAACTTTATTACGAAAATCCAAGATGATGGGCCTCTGTGTCACATGAAAATCTTTAGTGAAATTGGTGAAAATTCAAAGCAATAATTAATAGTTATACTCAGTTCAGGGATCACTTTCTTCATTTTCTTTGTTGTTTCTTCCCTTTTCTCCCTCTTCAGTACTCGAGTCGTAAGCCCTGCTATCGACTCTATCAGTGACACGGATTTCTCGTATACCTTCATCAGAGGGATAGCCCGGACCGGAGGCTTTAGCTGGTTCCCAGAATTCATGTGGACACATGCACCTCAGAGGGAGATGAAAAGGGTGTGGCAGGATGCTGCAACACCATTGAGGTGAGGATGCGATTCTATACCAGTGTGACGGGTCTGAGCTTTTCCCCCGCTTTTATATAGCGCTTTATACATCTACCATGTCTCTAAGCGCTTTACAGAATACCCTGGTCATTGGATTCAATGCTTGCCCGCACACATTGTATGCACAATCTCCACTCCCTGTGGAGTATTCCAGTCAGGCGGCACTTGACGCTTAAAACTGTTTGACCAACAATGACGGTCGCATCCTACCGGGTACCCATTTAACACATGGGTGGAGAGTAGCAACTGCAGGTTAATATCTTGCCAAAGGATATAGTGCCGTGGATGGAATACAATAATGTTGAAAGACGTGAGGATGCGATCAGAGAGTATTTTGTAGAATGGACAGATAAATACATGACATGTTTCGCAAAGAGAGAGAGAGTAAGAGGTGGAGACAAAAAAAATTGGGGGCAAGGGTCCGATCCATTGAGGCGTGTGAGGCGCGATGGCTCAGTGGTAGAGCAGTGGTCTCATAACCGGAAGGTCTCGAGTTCTACCCCAATTCGATGAGCTAGTTCCCTATGTCAAGGCATTAATCCTCATTACCAAGTCCCATAGGGTTACATTGTATTTGTTTACGTAATTCATGTAATGAAATACAACAAAACCATGACATTTTAGTCACATTGGTGATACTTCTCTTCAGTTTCATTGGATATCATGCCTATTTTGAGGAACGCCAGGAACAATAATGGATCTGGAAAACTAGTTGGGCGATCGAGGATGATGTTTGAACTTTCCAGGCGGTCTGCTTGTTGAGGTTAATTTAGAGAATATCGGAAACAAGCCTGGATTAAGATGTCTGCTTCGCTGTTCTCTTGAAGATCTCCAGTCATCTCCATGGTCATGACCCTTGGACTTGTCTTCTCCAGATCTTACTCACTCATCACGTCATGTCACGTGATCCGTCAGGAACGAAACCTAGCTGGGAATAGAAAAAATGCAAACACATACAGTATATTATGAAAACACGTGATCACCATTTTGTAAGTGGTATGCAGCATTAATATTTATTCTGTCACTGCTCTCAGCTTTTGAGTTTATCGGCTCTGTTCATTATGAGTGGCGGTGAATATTATTGGGGAAGGAGTGTCTTGCAAGGGTTGGCTTTAAGGCAGAGTAAAAAATCTCTTTCAAGAAAGCAACAAGGGTGTACATTCTAAATTTTCAAATCAGGAGATTCCAAAACTCCAGCACTTTAATAAAACACACACACACACACAAATTGACTAGATTTCAAATAATTTAGTTTAATTCATGATGATTTGAATTGTATTAAACACATACCACCCCTCCCTCGAGGTCAGTAGAGTTTTTGTTCTTTTTAGCTAGGGGTGCCTTTTGGGATCTAAATGTACTGCCGCGGGACTAATTTATGTTTGTACTTAACTTAATGTGGATATGCCAGAAGGGGTTTGCGCCCACCCCCCCCCCCTTCCTCACCGACCCCATTCAACACTTACTCCCTTGTGATAACTATAGCAGATTGATCTTCAATAAAGCAATGTCTCAAACCTACCCGGATGAAAATAGCCCCCTAGCTCCCCGTCCGGCTAGGTCGAAGCACCCTATAATCCTTGAAAGATTTCCGCTGGATAAACCCACTAGTGATGGACAGACTATTTCTGCTTCCGTCTCCCGACACTCATGGCATCCTGTCCAAAGGTGATGTAGAAGAGAAAATACTAACACCTTATGATTGCTATTATGCAATATGACATCTTTTCTTCGAGGGATGTCAATTACAATATACTACAATTGTGATTGTTATTGTGACATATAACATCCTTGCTCCTAGGGACATCGGATCGAGTAAACTGTTACAGTATGATTGTTCTACTCAATTACCGACATCCTTGCCAAGAGGGACTTCGAATAGATAATACTACACAGTATAATGACGCAATAACTGATGGGCTGTTTTGCGCGTTTCGTTTGCTAATTAAGTTCAGAGACATGGCGATGAAAGAGGTCATTAATTCACACTTAGAAGCTTATTTCTGTGATGATATAATAGACCTATATGGATTGTTTAATTTGCAGGACTAAAATGAGGTACACTCAATGTAAAGATGACCCCAAAATTTGTACTTGGGTTGGGCACGGCATGTTACTGATAAAGGAAATCATAAAACGTCTGTGTTTATTATTTACATTTTTGTTAACAAATTATAACGTATTCTTTGGTGTTCTTTCAAACAATCAGATCGTTAAGACAGATTTATTACGTGTTTGTTTATAAGAATGTAATATATCATACTGTTTTCCCCAGGGCAATGTCGGATGCGTCTCCAACTTGTTATCGTAAACTGTAGGTCCATGATAACTGGTAGACTTTATTTATAAACCAAACCCAAACAGGGCGAAGGGCTCGGCGAGTTAAGATCAGGGAGGAGGGGGTAAAAAGGAAAGATCACGATGGATTTCTAAACATATAATTTATGATTCACAACAGATAAGATTAGCATTATTGGAGGCTGCGTCTGACCATTTTAATCGGCAAGGATGGGATAGAGATGTCGGAAGACGTTTCGAGCAGATTTGCCAAATTTTCCCAACGGTAACCCCATCCCAATAAATAATAATGGATGAATGATAAGTAATGATAAAATTAAGAATGATAACAGAGATGAAATAAACTAATTATAACGATATCATTTGTTTCGATCCACAAGGATGGAGAATGGGTGTTGGTGAGTGTGTGTGCGTGTGTGTGGGGGGGGGGGGGGGTCACATCCCACACCCTCTATTGACGCCCCTGGGTATCATGTTAGGCACCTGCAGAAACAGGAAAGATGAAGACAGATCATCATCACGAAGAAGGGGAGCCAAGCCTATCTCCACATCGCCAGGATCAAAACATATTTTGACAGCGCCGGAGAAATGCGAGCTAACATAGCCACGTGCAACACACATTTGATCAGCCCCGAGATGTATAAATCCGACATAACATCTGCTAAACATTTGGCTTAATCTGAGAAAAACATTCGACTGGATTCCCAGCCTCTTGTGAGGCCTGACACGATGTGACATTGTATATCCTCCTCCTCCTTCGAGTCAGGGGCGTCAATAGGCCATTTTCTAATGGGGTGGGGGGGGGGGGGGGGGCAGGACAAAAATTTGCCGACAAGAGCGCCAAAAATTATCCCGCAAATAAAACAAAAAAGACTTCAGATTTCTTTCAATACAACTCTTAGTCTTGTGAAGCCTGACAAGATAAGACATTTTTCTCGCTTCTCTGCAAGCTCTTGAGATTGAAGTAGGGCCATCGCTACGCCACTTTAAATCAAGATTGTAGATTTGTAGGACCAAATTTGAACCTAAGATAGCCAAACATTAGACAACAAGCTTTTTAGAAAAAGGTTCTAAGATTTTCTAACTTTACATCAAGGGTAAAAGGAAAGCGATCTTAATATTTCTTTTCAATTTCACCGACAGAGGTACGAAAAATTGTTAATTAGGGTATTTCTCCAGTTTTTCCGACAAAATTTGTAATTTTTCTTTTTAATCGGGGTCCGGTGGCGCAGTCTTACCCCTCCCCCTGGCGACGCCCTGAACACGTTTTGAAGACAGACGACAATCAAGTTTTAAAAACAACATGTCTAACATGTCTGACAGCCAGATGAGGATGCATGTGAAATTTCTCGATCATTCGTGCCCTATCAATTTGAATGTTGGTCGCTAATATAAGCTTCAGTATGTAAGCATTAAAGCAGATTGAATATAATATCCATCATGTCGTGGAATCAACAGTAATTTTCTTAATATCTCTGACAATATGCCAATTGCCAATGACAATTTAAAGTCATTCAACTCTTAGTTAAGTATTTCAAAAGAATTATTTGATTAAGATAGGCAAAGGCATTGTTCAATTTACTGTGCTCGTTTTTTTGTTTGGTTGGTTGGTAAGGTGGTTAGTTGGTTGGTTGGTTGGTTGGTTGGTTGGTTGGTTGTTATTTTAATTGATTCTGGATACATATTGTGACTGATTCATAGTAAGTTCACATCCTTAATTATTGGAACCACATTGGGACGAGCAAACACAGAATTACAATTTGTAGCTCTATTTACACAATTGTTAGAGATAATATGCCTCTGTTAACGACACCTTAATGTTACTCAATTAGTATTGAAGAACGTGATTTCATCGATGTTAGTTCTTTTCATATCTGATTGAGCAATTTTTTTCTCTCCATGGTCTTTTTCGAGATTTACTTTACGAAGTGATAACAACTAAATAGACAAATTATAAACTGATACGTTATCAAAGGAAAGTAATTACGTTTAAGTAGTAAAAGTAAGGAGCATGAGGGAATGAACATGGTGAAGGCGTGACAATCTTTTACAAAACATAAACTACTATATTCAAAAGAGGAATAATGGGTGGATATTGATCTTGATCTGGTTTATCGGTTTTCAGACATTATATTTGTCAGTGCACAAGTCAGAATTCAAAGTCAAATCGTCATTCCACGCGAAATATAGCTGCAGTACATCTTTGCGAAAGAAAATAGCAATGTCTTCTTGAAAACGTAGGATTAAGACAAGTATGATTCAGGCAAAAAAGTAGGATTACTAAGCAACGTTAGAAGATTTAAAAGCAGCTAATATGAGTCATTTATGGATCTCTACTTCAGAAGATGTATTGATTGATATCTCACAGAAATGAAGTTTTTTTTTTAAAGGTACATGTCACTACAGGGCCCCGTCTTATAAAGAGTTGATATCGATCGCAACTTATTTGCGATTGATTTCAATTGCAACCATGTACATAAGAGATAGGAGACTGCAAACTTGCGATTGATTGGAGGACTTGCGATTGATTTGGATCAATCGCAACCCGTTATAAGACGGGGCCCAGAACTATTGAAAAATTTGAAAATATATGTTGAAAAGCTTCATTTGAAAGGATTTGAAGCAAAAATGGTATGGTTAGCGACGATCCTATAAAATTCCTTTGTAGTTAATCCTCAACTTTGGATGATTTATCTAGGAATAAAATCATTGTTATCTACATGGAAATTAACTCTAATTTTGCCTTAATACAAATGATTTATCTTTCTTTTCAAGGATTTTCTTTTACAATTGAATCCAACGTAGGAGCCGAATATTATCTTTACGACCACGTTTATATGAAACACATAGGAGTAATTTATAAAGACAATCAGGTTAAAGATTACAATTGAAACGTGATGTATCGGGTAAAGCAGATGGATGGAATCAGGCTAATCATCGATTTATATTTTAAACTTTCTTTTAATTTCTGTTTCTGAAAAGGAAGGGCTGTCTGCTTGCGATCACTTTGAAGCCTGGTTCCACTTTAACAGCTCCCAAACTTACTTTTTCTTTAATTGAAGTGTTTATCGGAATCCTCCTGCCGGATATCCAATAAACCGCAATTTGTTGCCATGACAACTAGGTGTTTACTTCCTTTGCTGCCTAATGTCTCTATTCGATTCATCCGTTAAATGATATGTTTTTGATGGAATGTGTTTTCATTTCATTAGCTGTTTTTTTGCACTTTCATTGCAGGGTACAATAATATTAGTTTAGACAGAGTTTCTTTACATCTCCTTTAAATGTTATGATTCAACACTTCAAAATATTATATATGCATCTGTAATTAGTCGGCGAGTATATATATATATATATATATATAAACACACATGTGTATCAAAAAGACATCGACTAAAGAGTATTTAACTTTGGGATGATGAATATTGAATTTTAAGCTTTTCAAAGTGTGTAAGGTAATGAAACATTAGATGCATGTACAGTTGTAGGTTCCCCAATGTTTGAAAAGTTCCTGGCGGCGAAGTATCCCGAAGTACCCCCCCCCCCCCCCCCCCCATCCTCCCCAGATCGCTGCCCTGCCTGCCATGTGCATGTCAATCAATACTTTTGATTCATTCATCACGTGGTACCTCTTCTGGGGGAAATTCTGTTAAAATTATTTATGAAATACAACTCAACAAGCAAACATCTGGCACATTATATGATAAGCGACTGAATGTTTCACGCAGGTATGAATTGATAATAAACATACCGGAAAGGGAGCAGGTGCGCATGTCTGCAAGTTACGGATATACTTCATGGTTCGTTTACTTTCCTACAACATGGTTTCGTTTGGAAAAAAAAAATGAACGATGACAATTTGCTGTTCATTTATTCTTATGTGATATGGTCATTTTGCATAATTTCTCTTTATTCCCCGTGTGTATATCTGTTAATGGTTTATTTATTCTTATATTCTTATATCATATCATATTTCTCTTATTCATTTTATCATATTCGTTGTCTTCCTCTCTAAAATAATTTTAAAGTTCTTTGTTGACGAGGCGGATACCCCCTCCCCCCACCTAGCGAGCCACTATCATTGCAGTTTGGAGTTTGGAGTTAGCATTAATCTTGTATCTGCTTAACTGTTGAATCAATCACATTTGTAACGTAATATTGCTTCATGGTTAACGGTATAACTATGTTTTTATCTAATGACACCAACCCTCTTTTTTACGTCAACAGAACACCGACTATCGCAGGGGGTCTTTTCGCCATAGATCGAAAGTTCTTCAAGAGCTTGGGATATTACGATCCAGAACTGCATGTCTGGGGCAGCGAAAATCTGGAGCTCTCTTTTAAGGTGAATGATTCAATATACTTGTTTATCCTGTCAAGTAATAGATGGATGTTTTGTTGTTGTTGATGATTTTTTTTTTCTCTCGCTGTGTTGTAAGAAAAGGAGAAGGACCTGCAAAAACGCGACGGAAATGAGAGGAAATGATTTGTAGTGAATCTGTAGGTCAGTTGCGAAGTACTAGTCCCTCATTTGATTGGGAAGAGGAGGGACCACTAGTGTCACTATGTGTTTGAAATTCAAAAGAATAGTCCAACTGGGGGATGGGAGGAGCTGAATCATCTGTCTTTATTGTATGTAAGGCTCATGTGAGTTAATATAGTACTATGATTAATCGATTAATACAAAAGAGGGGTAGGGGGAGGGTGGGGCCAAAAGAGGTGTAGGGGGAGGGTGGGGCCAAAAGAGGTGTAGGGGGAGGGTGGGGCCAAAAGAGGGGTAGGGGAGGGTGGGGCCAAAAGAGGTGTAGGGGGAGGGTGGGGCCAAAAGAGGTGTAGGGGGAGGGTGGGGCCAAAAGAGGTGTAGGGGGAGGGTGGGGCCAAAAGAGGTGTAGGGGGAGGGTGGGGCCAAAAGAGGGGTAGGGGAGGGTGGGGCCAAAAGAGGTGTAGGGGGAGGGTGGGGCCAAAAGAGGGGTAGGGGGAGGGTGGGGCCAAAAGAGGTGTAGGGGGAGGGTGGGGCCAAAAGAGGTGTAGGGGGAGGGTGGGGCCGAAAGAGGTGTAGGGGGAGGGTGGGGCCAAAAGAGGGGTAGGGGGAGGGTGGGGCCAAAAGAGGGGTAGGGGGAGGGTGGGGCCAAAAGAGGTGTAGGGGGAGGGTGGGGCCGAAAGAGGTGTAGGGGGAGGGTGGGCCAAAAGAGGGGTAGGGGGAGGGTGGGGCCAAAAGTTGAAGATAGATTAATCAAAGGGGCTACTTTTGCAAATTGTAAATCGCAAAGGAGAAATGGGGCGTCCGTAGTCCATGGAGACACACTTTGACATTTTTTTTTATTGTAATGCTTTCACAACATTTACAGGTAAAGTCTAAAAATTAACAAAAAACTCGATACAATTACTGAATGTTATTGATATCCAATGTTAGATGATGCAACCACTGATGCAATAACTTTTTTTTATTTATTGTAATGCTTTCACAACATTTACAGGTAAAGTCTAAAAATTAACAAAAAACTCGATACAATTACTGAATGTTATTGATATCCAATGTTAGATGATGCAACCACTGATGCTATAACCTTTTATATCTATTTTGACATTGGTTTTAAAAGCTTTAGGTTTTAAACCATACTTACCGCTATATCCTATTCAGTGTGTCGTAAACAAGTCATTTAATAAGGGTCATGAAGAATGTATTCATGACCAATTTCAATTCTATCAAATAATCCTTTTGGGACATCGCTGAGACAGGTTTATTAATGGAGTATTCCCATTCCTAGTTTCCTGCGGAAGTATTTAATCGAGCAAATTTCCTGTGATTGGTGGAAATTAAAGTAATATCAACTCGGTTGGTGACCCTTTGTAACATTATCAGTGGCGTAACATGCGTTCTACCATGGGGGGGGGGGGGGGACAATTTATAACGTGATAAAGGGGATGCGAGTTTAATAAACAGGCCACCATTTATGGGGAGGGTGCGGCAGGGTGCCTCATATTTCCCCATCTCCCTTTCTTGTTCTCATTCCTAATCGTTTTTGTTCTCTTCATAATTTGATAAGGGGGCATGTGCCCCGTTCCTCAGTAGCCGCTATTAAACACATTTCTTTCGGAATGTCCCACTCGGGAAGCAAGGACTATCCTACTTTTATCATGACTCAATCGTCATGAGTAATATCTTGTGATGTAGGGTTGAGGTCAAGTATTAATGCAGTGATGTGGAATGATTTACAGTGAAGGTATTTGGTGAAAATGTTCTGATGGTAGGTCCGAGATGATGTATTTCAAGCCGAGGTTCAGTTCAGTCCAACAATTCAAATCGTCGAACACCGTCTTATTAATCCTCAGTGCCTGGTGTAGGGTTGAGGGTGATTTTGAGGATTAAAAATAAATGTATTAAGTGAACATGTATAGAGGTAATTTATTTCACGTTGATCGCTATAAAGCCAAATTCTGTTTAGTCCTTCAAATTAAATTGTCCAACATTGTTTGTATCAATATTTAAGTTACAGTGGCATAGCAAGATCGAGTCTGGACCAGCGGTCGAAGAGACGGTGGTATCATGGAGGGGGGGGGGGGGGGGGGGGTTGTACCAGTCCTGATAGATATATCAAATAAAAAGTCACAAGGCCACAGATTAGTGGGAGAATATAGGAGGTTGAGGGGGTTCATTTGCCATTCAATGGGATAAGGTACACGGGGCACATTTCTCTCTTGCAAAATATACTATGCGCTCTTTATATTTTCAAGATTGTTAAAATGATCTTATATACATTTGAAAGATGTAATTACAATTTCCTTCATTTTTATTCAATATTGTTTTACTCTAGGTGTGGCAATGTGGCGGAAGCCTGGAAGTAGTTCCGTGCTCCAGAGTGGGTCACGTATTCAGATCCAAGCCTCCTTACGACTTTCCTGGCAACCCAGAGACTGTGCTCCTACGCAACAACAAAAGAGTTCTCGAAGTGTGGGGTGGGCGGATTAAACACTTATTCTACGGGCTGACGCCAGAGTACCAGGCCGTGGATGCCGGGGACATTTCGTCAAGGATACGGATAAGGGATGAGCTGAAGTGCAAAAATTTTGAGTGGTATTTGGAGAACGTGTATCCAGAGAATATCCTGCCACTCAACTTCCAGGCACTTGGAAGGGTAAGGACAGATTCTTTTAGTCTAAAAAAATGAGAAGGAAAAGGCTATTGATGATGATGATGATGGTACCGATGATGATGATGGTGATGATGATGGGAAGATGGTGATGATGATGTCAACATTCTCATCATGGCACCATCATCACCATCACCATCACTATCATCATCATCATCATCATCATCATCATCACAAACAAATTAAATTAAAATTATGAATGAGAAAGCATCAGCAGGGTGTTTTTGTAATGACAAGTTTAGATATCATTAATAATCTTGGCATCATGAACGCTCCACGGAGAAAATTCGAGACCAGTGCCCAGAATTAAGTTTCAATCTATGCGGTAAAAATACAAATATCTTTTATTTATTAAAAAAGTATTCCATATATTAAAAAATCAATTTACATTTCCCTTTTCTCTTCCTCCTCTCACTCTTTTTCAATCTTCTCATTCATATTTTTCTTTATTTTTTTCTTATTTTCTTTGCCAATGTCTTTTATCAAATTGTTTTTTGGGTTATGTTTTGACAGTTTATGAATGAGGGAGTGAATCTATGCATCGACGTGCTCCATGCTACCGATGGGAGACGGATGGGGGCGCACCTTGCTGTCAATGCATGCCGGGAAGGTGCTCTTGCGCAGGTATGGTCTCACTAAAGTCTCAGAAATAATTTCTTTTTGAAAGTTTTAAAAAAGGTATAAAGCAAAAAAAATGTAAAACAATTAAACACCACACAAAAAACGGGAGCGTAACGAGTAGTTAAGCCTGCACGTGGTATACGTTTATGTCTCTTTGTAGCAAAATGTTTAACAAAATCAATTGTGAAATATTTAGGTTGGTTTAGACAAGCAACAGCAGATTCACCTGATAAATTAAGTATTGTAAAATGGTTAATGAAAATGTATTTGTCTAAAACCACATCAAAGGCCAATTATCGTTTATCATTAGGTTTTTAGTAGTTCTGTTCCCTCCTATTATTTGTTATGATCGTTATTATAAAACTTTCCTAACTGATCTTTTTGTTATTACATTCCTGTTGTCTGGTCAAGTTATCTATTTTCCATTTTATTCATGAGCTATCATACTTTCTTTCTGTAAAATTGCTATTTTATTCTTCAACTTAAATTTCATCAGACTTTTTCTTGGAACGATTTGAGTCAACTTCGGCATGACCGTTTCTGTATCACAGCAGTAGAGGGCGACAATCATGTAATGCTCCTTGAGTGCCAAGACGTGCACTACAACAGACTACTCACAAATCAACAATGGCAGTATAACGAACAGGTGGGATAGATGATACGAGTTCAAGAGAGTGATAATTTATCGAAGACGGAGATATTCTGTTGCATATGCTAAATGGATTGGTTGTTCAAATTAACTATAGATCATTTAATTAATGTAGTAGTATTTTGATATGAAACTTCTTTTACCTTTTACATCAATATTTGTTTTACAAAGAGACAAATAATACAACAATAAATCACGTCTTTTTTAATAATAATAATAATAATAAAAACGTTACTTATATAAATAAATAAATTCTGATCCCGAGTCCAGTGACTTATTTTGTATGTATTTATGAGAGGACAGCAATCCCCAGGAACTCTTTGGGAGTTCCAGTTGAAAATTGAATTGGAAAAATTCAATATTCAATATTATCATAAATCAATTGGTAATTGCAATTGCAAGAAATAAATAATGAAACTTGATTCAGACATTGACAAAGACATAAATCAGTGACAATTTCTTAGAAACAGTTGATAATACATTATAAATATTAATAAAAAAGAGTTAATACTGTTACAGAGTGACGATTAAATACAAGATGTTAAACATTTTAGCACTATTAACAAGGAATAGACGAAATGATTTTTTAAATTCTTGTATCCATTTTCAATTTTCGCTTCAGATTGGAACAATGCAGCACCAACTCACAGGCCAATGCATGGGACTGAAGAAGAAATTGGACAAAGAAGTAATGAAATCATTTGTAATACTTGAAGAATGCAACTCATTATCGACCCAACAGTGGGCCATCTTAGAAACATTTACTGAAATCACGTGGAGATAGCACACAGCAAATATTGCAATTCAGGACCCTGTTTCATAAAACAATTGTTATCAATAACAAATGCTAAATTTTGATGACAAATTTTCTCTCATCCAATTAGATGCTTATAACAGTAGTCATACATTGTAACTTGTTATCGGTGACAATTTTTATGAAACAAGGCCCATATTTCAAATATAGGATCATAACTACTGTAATAAAATGTATTAACAACACTCAAGGGCACTTGCAATAGTATATTGTATCCCATAGAATCATGTTTGGACTATTTGATTTGATTTGATTTGATTTGATTTTGTTCTGCATTCATATAAGTACACAGTGTTTTTATATAAGAATAATGATATAAAGTACAATAAGTATGTTTCTGACAATGAATCATAAATGAGCAAATATATATAACAATTGTTATTTTCAAACCAAAATGATGAACTGTCACAAATACTAAATTTCATCAAACATTACAAAATTATTTGCGGAAGAAGGATTGTCATTGTAAGAAATGATTATACGACAGCCCCAGACAAGCCTCATGAAATAGATTAACACATTTATTCAGCAGAACGGATAGGTAATTAAAAATACAAATTTTAATGATGGTGATATTAACAATGCAAGATGAGGAGGAGGATGAAGATCGTGATGAAGATCGATGATGATGATGATGATGATGATAATGTATACTACATCATTGTAATGTTTTCCAATTTCGAGAAATGATTGGCGTTCGTGTCGATATAAGTAGAACTCTCTAAATTATAGGAGATGAAACCAACTTTTGGGGAGTCATATTTATTAGGGATCGCTTCATTTGAGGTGGCAGTCTACTATCAAACTATATAGTCAAAGTTACTCTCAAAAGAGTTAATTAAATCACCAGTTTGGAGTGGATAACACAATCACTTGGAGTGGATTCGACCCAAAAGGACGCGATCCCTCATAATGAGTCCTACAATAAAGTTGGTTTCCACTCCTCGGCATTAAGAATAACATGATCGTAAATACTTTCAAGAAAGCAACTTTAGGCAATTGTTTCAGTAGCCTTGTCCATTGCCGGTTGAATTATGTAAACAGTACACTGTCATATTTACACAATTCGAACATGGTTTCTACAAGCAGTAAGTGAGTTGATTTATTGAAACTCTTTTCGAACGTGTTTCATGTTGAAGTGTGTATTTTATTGATTTACAGGGTCATGTACAGGACCAAAGATTGTTTTAGGACCAACCGAAACATTCTCTGAAAAACGAGGGAACTCCTGTTTTATTTGAGCAAACATTACATGGAATGTTGTGTAATCTAAATATGTTGGTTTCACAGAAATGAATTCATGTGATTAATTTCTTAATGAAAATATCCATTAATTTGGCTAAAGCTAGGGTAATAATTTCCAAAACTCTTTGGAAACGCATTGTTAATATATTATGCGCTATACAAGAACTGAATATTATTATTATAATGGTGATAAAAAAGAGGGGGGAATGACTTCAATTTGTTTTTAAACAGAAAACTCAAGTCCCCCTTGCAAACATTCCTATACATATCTATAGTCACTTAATCCTCGTTATAGTGACTGTGGCATTTAATTGCTCTTTGTATAATTATACAAAAGGAGACATTATAATCCAATTGCAGCTCCTATTTAACAACTAAAAGGTGTAGGATGTCATCCCCTAACAGATAGAACTTCTCACTGAGTTTGAGGAAATTGTGAGATCCCTAGAAATTAACAACTTTTGCTCTTCTTTTTATTGGACCAAATTGTATGATCGGCCAAGAGCCAGAAAGGCATAACAGAGCAGCATCCAAAGTGAATGTCTTTCTTGTTCTGGTTTTATTTTTTTAAAACGTTCGTTACAATGTGTCAAGACCAAATATCTGTGTTGCTTAAATTGTAGTAACCCAATTAAGAAACACACATCAGGGCCCCGTCTTACAAAGAGTTACGATCGATCCAAATCAATCGTAAGTCCTCCAATCAATCGCAAGTTTGCAGTCTCCTATCTCTTATGTACATAGTTACGATTGATATCAATCGCAAATAAGTTACGATTGATATCAACTCTTTGTAAGACGGGGCCCAGATCAGTCTATATCTTACTAATATAAACATAACGGTAGATATAATATTGTCTACTATACAATGGACCAAACAACAGATATATCATCTTGTATAACCAATGTTTTGTTTGTTATCGGTCGTTTTAGGTTCGATCGGGCAATGTGACCGATGTATTTAATAGGCTGCAATGTTTTCAGGTGTTCCGTGCAAAATAAATTCCAAACAACTCATGTCAAAGGCTGACAGTTTTGATAACTTTTGCAATGAATTAATATACGTTCTGTTAGTTATAGAAGTGATTTTCGTCAAAATGTAATGTTTTATGTAAATTTGCCATTTGTATGCCTCCGCCCACTGAAAGTGGTGCCGGAGGCATTATTTAATTTTGTGTCTTCATGTTGATATTTATTTTCACTCTCAATAAAAATAATGCTATTTACATAAAAACTTAATTCGTTGTTTATAGTCCATGAAAACATACTTGATTGATACAAATATACCGTGTGCTTACTATACAGAGGGGGGTATTTAGTATAGTAGCATGTATCATTACCCCCACCTTTAGCCTAGCCGCCATTACAGCGCTCTAGCATTTCAAGGAATTAATTCCTGCCAGGTACCCATTTACCTCACCTGGTTCGAGTATGATACTTTTCTATAAAGGTAACTGAGGTAATTTAATTCTGTCAGTAGAAGTTCAGTTGCTGGCTGCGTTCGGGATTTGAATGCATACACTGCAACAGACGATTTGCCAAAATCTTGCCTCCGCTTTTCTGAAAGAAACATGAAACACAACGGTCGGTTATTGAAAATATAGACCCAGAGGTATGTGAAACAATAAAGATTGACATTAGAAGAAAGTTACCCTCATCTCATACTCTCATCTTCTTCTCATACTTCTTTCCTACTTCTTCTTCTTCCTCTTCCTCTTCCTCTTCCTCTTCCTCTTCTTCTTCTTCTTCTTCTTCTTCTTCTTCTTCTTTTTCTTCTTCTTCTTCTTCTTCTTCTTCTTCTTCTACATCCTTTTCTTTTCTATCTCCTACCTGGGCCTCCTCTTTTTCATATTTTTGTCTTCTTGCCCTTTTTCCCTTTTCAACCTCTTTTGGGGTTTGTTTCTTTGTACATGTAATTGTCTTTCAAAATTTCGAATTTCTTTCATCTTCCCTCTTTTTCGTCGATGTCCTACTCTTTTAGATTTCCTCTCTATTGTTTTTTTTTTGGTATCGTTAATTAAAAATAATTCGATAAATTAAAAGCGCATTGCTGTCAATATTATTTACTGTTTTCGAATTCATGAATCTATTCGATCATTATGTTTTACAGAGAACAGCATATTGAGGTGTTGATTGGTGATTTTGAAAAAACTCGTTATAAATTTGAGATAAACTGCAAACAGTTTATTGTGTCGTTGATATTTATGGTTTATTGGTGTATATACTAAGAAACGCCTATTCGGAGCAAAATGCGGAAAAAATGCTATTCGTGTAAACTTAAACGCATAGTTAGATAGACAGAGAGAGAGTATGAGAGAGAGAGAGAGAGAGACAAAAAGGGGGGGGGGGTTAAGAAAATGAGAGAGAAAGGGAGAGGGGAGGAGAGATTGACATATGGGGAGAGTAAAAGAGAGGGAAGAGAGAGAGAGATCAGAGGAGAGTTAATCAAACTATAATAGTAATCATCTGCTCACCTTTCTCCATTTGTGTCCCTTCAGAGTTCTAGGCGCATTGCTCCTCACATGTCTTTCACCTCTCTTCTCCATCTTCAATAAAATCTGTCATGAAAGAGAAACAAAAGAGAAAGAGAAAGAGAAAGGGTGAGAAAGAGAAAGAGAGAGAGGATCTTCTAAAGATGCAAACTTCCATAACACTGAAATCGTTATCTAACATTATGTTGAAGGTTGAGGATAGGAATATAAGAACTCTGAATTGCACCCCCCCCCCTCCTCCCCTCTATGTAGTTTAGACATTAGTTTGATTTTGTTTTCTTCTTCATTTCCGCTAATTTAAAAAACAAAATGAGAATGATTTGATTTGTTTGAATTATAATCAATAGAATTTTGCTTCTTTGCATTTGCACAAAAATATTGTAAACATTAATTCTAACGGAGGGCGGGAGAAGAGCCCCAAAATCCCCCCCCCCCCCTCCGTTCCCCCGTTCTACAACTTGCACATTACTAAACATACAATATCACTGTTCTTGCATCTCCATATCGCCACTGTGATTCTTCTGAGTCCATTGTATGCTTTCTGAACCCACCACCCCACCCTAGGGATGATATTGAAGGGTGGGGGCAGGAATCCCGTCATCTGATCGTACTCTAGCATCATCCGTGTCCGGGCAAAGTGCCACTCCTTACGCGCATTCTCCTAGACAAGCAAAGAGATAAAACATCAACATTAATCATGATGAAAAACCTCTGTAACAATATTGTAACACATTGGGCATGTTACGTCTCTATGTGCCAATTCCAATGTGCTTTGGAGCTATGTTACACCACCTTTGGTTCCAGCCCTGGTTCCAGCAACTAACCATGCCCAATGTATTTAAAGGATTCAATCCCACCAAGTAATAACTATACCTAGCTAGGTCGAGAGTGGAGAGTGACAGAGAGACAGATAGAGAGACAAAGACAGACAGACATACATAGAGAGAGAGAGAGAGAGAGAGAGAGAGAGAGAGAGAGAGAGAGAGAGAGAGAGAGAGCGAGTTGGGGAAGTCTTTGCGGTGATCACCAATCGCCCTTACCCGCTAAGTCCCGCTTACCTCAACGCGTGAGTAGGTATTACTGAGCATGGCAATCAAGGCGTTTAGCATGATGGTGACCACGAGTACCATGTAGACACCGAACAGGACAATGCCCACGCCCTGGGTTAACCAGAGATTGTCCGACACCCTGAGCGTATCGACGCTCGTCTCGCCGTAAAGCGCCCAGAAGAGAGCCACCACTGACTTGGAAATCCTGGCAAGGTTCAACGAAAAGATAAACATGTGTAATTAACAAACAACCAATTTGAATAAATAAATTAACTTATTAAAACGAACTAGGCAGATCCGTGTTTACTAAAAGAAAGCGCGTCGAATTGTTTAACAACCGCGAGAGCCCACAGTTCCTGGGTCGTGTAATCGTTTTATACATTATTGTTAGTCTCACAGACTGGTGGGATTATGTCATCTCTATTATCCAGCTTTGGAGATGGTGTCATCCTGTATAAATATTTTTAAATAAATAAATAAATAAGCAAATAAATAAATAGTTTAAGTTTTAAAAATATCCCAACAAGCTTTGAGAGTGTTAGCCAGCACTGGTGCAGTGAGAAAACAAAATCGACGAATAGGATTTTAGATACTCGCGCGAAAAGAAAACGAATTAATCTCGCTTTGAAGTTCTTGCTTACGTCTCAAAAGAAAGGGTCATACACTCATCCGAAGTGGGATCCATACGGCATTCGTCATCGTCCTGCGTGTTATAGGTGGCGTAGAGCTGGGTGAAACCCATGCCGAAGGCGGTCAGCACGAAGACCAGCAGACACGCGAATCGACCCATGTCCTTCAAAATGGCGCCGAAGGAGATTTGAAGGGGACCGACAAACTGGAACGCGACGGTCGCATGTAGTAGGCGAAGAAACGACAATATATTAGCCACTGAAATCACAACAAAAGGAGAAAACATAAAAGTTTGTCAGTGATAGTTTATATATTTCAAATTTTTCGTTCTTTTTCAATCGATTCCCATGCTTTTCAGTTATTATTTCGCTTGTGTTCAGCTTCTTTTGGCCTTTCATATCAACTACAATATATTTATCAAATTTATCAGAAATGCTTGAAATATATATTTAAACAATTCAATACATGGAGGGGGTCTGCACTCATGCGTAAGAGGCTCTCCTCATTAGTTGATGATATATTACATAACTATACACAAACATATATTTACGTATAATATAAGATATATATAATATAATATCAAACAGATGCAAAAGACAAATCATGAGATCAGGAATATAAAATAATCATATGTTGTTCAGTTCATATTAGAGGGGTACTGCTCACACTCTAATATAGAAGGCGCACATCCCTTATTGAAAGTCATTGTGGTACACCGCAATTAGAAAAATAGATGACCGGCCTCTTGTATTCTTGTGCCCCTCTAAAACCTTACTTGTTAAAGATGTTTGGAATAAATGTTGCACATGCCCTTCCTTACTTGTCAGAGATTTTTGTATCATAACCCCCCCCCCCCCCCCCCCCCCCCCCCATTCAAAGAGCCATATGTACGCCCTTGGCAACGACTGATTCTTTCACGTACCTGAAAAGCAGATTTCGGCGATGAGTTGTGGGTCGAACGTGTCCCACGCCCGTCTCTCCACCTCATACTTGTCGAAATGGAAGTGAAATACCTTGTTCAGGTGGAAAAATGAATGAGATGACGAAATGGCTGTGTTGTTGCTGATAGGTAAAGAGAAAGAGAGAGAGAGAGAGAGAGAGAGAGAGAGAGAGAAGAGATTAAGAGAGGGGGTTGGAGGGGTAGGCAGGGAAGAGAAAGAGAGAGAGAGAGAGAGAGAGAGAGAGAGAAAGAGAGAGAAAGAGATTAAGAGAGGGGGTTGGAGGGGTAGGGAGGGAAGAGAAAGAGAGAGAGAGAGAGAGAGAGAGAGAGAGAGAGAAAGAGATTAAGAGAGGGGGTTGGAGGGGTAGGGAGGGAAGAGAAAGAGAGAGAGAGAGAGAGAAAGAGATTAAGAGAGGGGTTGGAGGGGTAGGGAGGGAAGAGAAAGAGAGAGAGAGAGAGAGATTAAGAGAGGGGGTTGGAGAGGTAGGGAGGGAAGAGAAAGAGAGAGAGAGAGAGAGAGAGAAAGAGATTAAGAGAGGGGGTTGGAGGGGTAGGGAGGGAAGAGAGAGAGAGAGAGAGAGAGAGAGAGAGAGAGAGAAAGAGATTAAGAGAGGGGGTTGGAGGGGTAGGGAGGGAAGAGAAAGAAAGAGAGAGAGAGAGAGAGAGAGAGAAAGAGATTAAGAGAGGGGGTTGGAGGGGTAGGGAGGGAAGAGAAAGAAAGAGAGAGAGAGAGAGAGAGAGAGAGAAAGAGATTAAGAGAGGGGGTTGGAGGGGTAGGGAGGGAAGAGAAAGAGAGAGAGAGAGAGAGAGAAAAGGAGATTAAGAGAGGGGGTTGGAGGGGTGGGGAGGGAAGAGAAAGAGAGAGAGAGAGAGAGAGAGAGAGAGAGAGAGAGAGAGAGAGAGAGAAGAGATTAAGAGAGGGGGTTGGAGAGGTGGGGAGGGAAGAGAAAGAGAGAGAGAGAAATAGAGAGAGAAAGGGGCGGTTAGGGAATAGAATGAATAAAATAGTGCGAGATGAAAAGGATAATTACCTTGATATGGAAACAAATCTCAATATTTTGTAAAAACCAATTTCGTTAGATTTCTTCTGCTCCTCTCCCTCCACCTCCTTCCCCTCCCCTCCTCCTTCTTCTTAGTTTGATATTACCGCATATAGGACATTGAACTTGATAGGGATGGTTTAAAAGAATACTATCAGAAACATAAATGGCCGTTAAATATTCATCCATTAAGTATTGAATGAAAAAAGAGCACGATTCACAAATACAATTATTCATTAAACCATTTTTTAATATCACGCGGCATCTTTATACAGCAAGTTAAAAAAATCTATAAATATTTGTTATTTCTTTCGAAGTTCAATCGCATATCGCAACCCGAATTATAGTGGCGTATACAGACAAAGGCCGGACCAGGAGGGGTAAAACATCCCAGCCTATTGCAATTCATATATTATTAAAGGTAATACAAAGTTTTGGGAAAATTTGAAAATTGGGTGGATAGTGAATCTTTACAATTTGATATATTTGGATGCCCTGTGGATGTATTAAAAGCACCAAAAAATTTAGCTCCTAAAACACTTCTGCTTTCGAGAAAAATTGAATATAAAAATTTACCGGTGCTCCCGGTAAATTTTGATGAATTTCAAATAGCCCCTACGGCCGTTCAATGGTAGCTGCGACCATGACAATCTCAGAATATGTAGTTCTGATATATAATTTCCAAATGGGAATAGCTAATCGGTCGATTTTAGTCAAGAAGCATGTTTCTTCATTTTTTTATTTTTTTTTTTCTTCATTTGAAAACCTGGTTTTCTTAGATGGGGTTTTACCGCCCAAAGTGAATCATTTTGTGAAGAAAAAGCAATTTGAAAAACAAAATATATACAGTTCTTTCGTTCGTGTACCACTAGTATATAAAGGTGTCTATGGTGGGTTTTTTCGTGTTTTTCTTGATCGAAAATCTATTAATCTTCAAATATGCTAGCGTAATTACGAGAGAACATAGCTTACATGTACAAGATGTCTGCATCTCCCGTCTGCGATCCATCAGCGAAATTATGAAGAGAGGAAACAAATAAACGAAACAGAAACAAACAAATAAATAAATAAACCATCAAACAAGAAATTTTACAATTAACAGTCCTAAAACTTTATTCCCGAATATAATTCAATAGCGCTTTCCAAATCATGAGACTTATATACAGGTGTTTTTTTTTAATCAAACTAAAATTACATTGAAATCAAATCCTGATATTTTATCAGTATAAAGTAACTAAACTAAGAAAGAAATCAGAGATTTCCTTAATTTAAACAAAAACTTCACAATTGTTTAAAAAATGATACTGTACATAAGATCGTACTACCCTTGGCAACAATAATTGATATCACATATTACATAGAGTAAAAGTTGGTCACTAAATCAAACAGATATCATAGGATTATCATCCGTCGAAATGCAAAACAGATTATGAGAAAATCATATCAATTAAAATCAAGACCGCAACTAGCAACTAAATCAATTCCTGTTAATACCAAAGAGCAAGACCAAAAAGTCGAAGAATATTATTGACCGTCAGTCATGCAACCCCATCTTAAATTGGCAGAGGTACAACAAAATGTCAAGGTAAAATTCAGGTATATAACATGTTTGAGGAGCAACCCTTTTTAGCAGTTATTGCTAATATAATATTCTTCAAAACTTATTAAGAAGAATGAAGAAACTCCACAAAACATTACCTTCACCAAAAATCAAACTTCTCTTTGAGAAGACAATGATCTTACCACAGTAATACTGATGCTTAGGGCAATGTATGACCAGTGGAGAGCTATTGATGCGAAATCAACTATATGCCAGTACACTCGGAGATATGTTTTCAAGCCTTGGATGTAGACTAGCGTCACATGTTGCAAAGTCATTCCTGTAAAAAGAGTCATGCATATAAAGTGATAGGGGGAAATGAAAAAAGGGGGTGGAGTAGGATGCACTCAGATATTGAGAGAGATAGAGAGAGAGAGAGAGAGAGAGAGAGAGAGAAAAGGAATAGATAAAGACAGAGAGAAGGCATCTCCATCTCCAGAACAAGAAAACATTTTTTTAGCGGCAAATTTACGAAACAAAAATAATTCTAAATTTGTAAAATGTTGTTGCCAGGATTATAATTACCATCTGGAAGGTTGGATAATTTCCAGCCACGGCTTTTTGCTAATTTCAAACATTGGTCCGCTTTAAGACGGGGGTAAACAGGGAAATCCCACCAGTATGACTAGACAGAGATCCGACAAAAATAACTGCACACCAAACCGAACATGATCGGCAGCTCATGAGTGCGAAAGTTGTCGGAAGATTGTCGGAAGGTCTTGGACCGTCTGTCTCGTTATTTTTCTAAAAATTCGGTCTCGTGGGTTGTACTCGAGTAAACAACACCACCACCAACAATAGCAATACTTACCTATGACCCATATAAACACCACGATGAAGCGCGACCCCAACGGGAAAATTGTGTAAGTGTAACGGACGCAATTGAATCCTCTGGGGTCGTGCCGGAAAGTGATGAAATCGGGACACTCCATTATCGTAATGGAGATGCCCATAGTCATGTAGAGTAGTGCGTGAAGAAAGAGGATTTGTGAACACGTCTGGAGGATGTGCTGTACAAATCTGAATGTGGAAGAGGTGGGGTGTGTTTACACAATACACAAGATAATATTCTTTGTGTGTATCAAGGTTTAGACGGTAAACGGATTAATCTTTAGCGATAAGCCTTTCTGAATGCAGAGGACATGTGAACACATCTAGAGAGTACCCTGTACAAACCAATACGTGGAAGAGATAGGATATGTTTACATCTTCTTAAGATAACAGATCCGAGGGTTAACGGTTTGGAAGCAATATTAGCAACACATGCACAAAGAAGGATACTTACTAATTGTACTGGTAGGCTTATATAACAAATAAGAAATGTGAATACTTCTCATACGTTTTTGCGGATATTCTGTACAAAAGTGTAAATAGGAGAGATGGGGGTATGTTAACATCTACATAAGACAATAGTGTATATCATTCAACACAATACACTCTGAAAGCACAAACAGATTTATTAAGTAATAGCTCCATCTGAAAAGGAGGATATTAGTAAACAGGTCTTTTGAATGTTCATACTCGATTTCAATCTATTTCAATGAATAGCGGTGTAGAGTATACACTTTTGCCCATAAGTTGGAATGTCATTGTTACCTCTTTTCATGAAATGATTGTGACGATATGGTTTATTCTTGATAAATACAGTTTCCATCTTCTTGGAGCTTTATTGATCAGTCTCTATGAGCATTTAGATTACTCAATAATGCTCTGAGAAGATTTAAACTCTGTCTTTCAATAGGAAATCATATTTTCACAGTTACCTCTTCAAAAGTGGTACACCAAAGTTATTCCAACTTTTTGTGGCAACAGTTTTTTAAAAATAATTTGCAAGATATTCTACAGAAGAATTTCTCTTTTTACTCACGGGGTAGCCATTAGCTTGTCGAACCGTCGGACACAGCGTATATTCTCCGGTAGAACGATGTCGAAAATACAGATGATGGGCGATAAAATGGAAATAAGAAGCACCAAGAAAATACTGGCAATTTGACTGCACGAACTCCAAGGTATGGGGCCGTCAGCGTACCACCATTGTAGCATGTATTCTTGACAGTAACTATGAGACAGAAACTGTATAGGAAAGGTGGAAGAGAAGGGTAAATTTTAGTATCCATGTCCTGTGTTTTTTAAAAATATTTATAATGTCTAGATAAACGGACATCGTTATGCGTAACGGGGTCTCAGTCAATCTGTAGAAATACTGTGAGCATACGTGACCAGAGGGTTTCCAGACACCCCTTAAACGAGGATTCTTCTGAAGCCAAAATATACCCTAAATGAGGATTTCGCTTGTTTTTTTCTCCCGAATTTACACCCTACACGGGTATTTCACAAAAGTAAAATCCTAAACAAGCATTGTAATGTTGTAACCCCTTGAGCATTTTGAAGTGCGATAGGGATTACCATTTAAGTTGTTGACAATGTAAAATAAATCAAATTGCGCTTCTGATGTAACATTCACAATATAAAAATGTTATTCAATAGAGGAGCAATGGCATAACCTGTACACTTACATAAGGATTTAATGTACATGTAGTGTTTACATAAAGTACACAATGTACAGTGAAAAATTCCTGTTCTACTATGCAAAACAATTATAAGGGACCAGCTTTTATTAACAATAGTTACCATTTGGTATTCCAATCGCACTACTCGCTTCAAGCGCCCCATGGGATCGGAGAGTACCCCTCTCTTCGACACGCTTCTTCGCGTACCGTCTGACGCCGCTCTCTCGTTGAGGGCCTCCCATATTTCATCCTTTCGAGTTGCGCAGTCGAGAAGCCGCGTAAGAAGGAATTCCAGTCGGCTGTGTATGATCTCATAACACGAGGTGAACACCGGCCTCTCGTGTCGCATCTGTTCCTTGAGTCGCTCGCCCCACAGCAACGCCGTTTCGATGGGGTCATCAGAGGTCAACAGGATGTACGCGTCGCTGGTCATTGATTGGAACCACTGCAGACGTGCGAGGGCTTGCTCCAGCGGGTCGTCATTGACGCGCGCAAGTGTCTCCTCTTCAGTCGGCATAGTGGCCCCATTGTCTAGGAGTAACTGTACAGTTCGAAACAAATCTTTTTATTTTAATGTTATATTATTTTCGCTCTTTAATGGAAATGTTCCACAAGAATCCAATCAAAATAACATTTCTTGGCCTCGAAAATGTGCCTTTTACTGTTAGAGAAGCCATGTCCCATCATCTTCTCTTTCTCAAAACCAAGCTTCTTTCATCCCCTCTTTCTCCTCCTCCTCTTCTCTTTCATCTTCCTCTTCTTCGGCTCTGCCTTTTTAAAATCATGTGTGCTTCCTTTTTAAGCTCGGATAGATCCGAGACCATTTCAAGCAGAAGAAAAAAAATCAGAAAAATGCTGACATAGTATTTTTCGTTTAATTTGTGGTGTGTAGCCTTAAAGATAAAGTTAAGTTCTGCTCATGCGATTGCATTGTGAAAGAAAAGGTGTGGAATGGATCAGAAAAAGATGATCATGTAGCATGTAAGTATTGGTGTGTACTGCAGTGTTCTGGAGTCATCAAAATCATAATAAATTTGCCCCAGTCTTTGTAAAGTAGCAAGCACTGTAAACAGAAAGATGTATATGTCATTGATTGCACAAATGGTGTCGGGCCTACTTACCTTGATTTCCTTATCTTTCTATGCTGATTACTCAACCAGTGTACATTTTCTACCAAAATTGTTTGGCAAATGACATTCATTTGTAATCTTGAACATTCAGTGTAAGTTTTGTTTGGTTCTGTGAGAATTCATCTTCTTTCTTTTTTTAAAACCAGTACTAAAGTTTATCTTTAACTACGGTATACAGATTAAACTGTAGTATAACATTCAATTTATGACATATAGTTCTATACCTTGAAATAAACGTTGAACTTGAGGTACATGTATATAAGTGAGTATATAGATCAATCGTCTTATATTAAGGTATTCATTTTCAGATTATGGAAATAGAACTAAAAGGATTCTCTATAATGCCTTACCTCAACAATTATTAGGTCATCCAATTTCGAAGCCAGCAGGAGAGGAGTGGTATTAGGTGGAAAGTTGTTGGTCACGGCGAATCTGTTTTTCAAGTCGGTTCCTTTGCTGTCTGCCTGAAATAAAATTAATTGAAACACTAAAGTGAATGGTTTTGGGATGTTGTTCATGGGTATGTCCCATTCCGATTAAAAAAATAAACACACACATTAAAGAAAAACATAATATATTTTGCACAACGATAATTTACTTGTTAGGTCTTGTAACAGATAAAGATGTAAATTCCTTATAATTTTCCATTAGCTTGGAAATATCTTTTTAGTTTATATTAAGGTCATTTTATTGGGCAAAATACAATATATTTCTAACCAATTTTCTCTTTCTTTTTCATTATCATATTTCGAAAATAATTATACAAAACACTCAAATAAAATGGCTATTCTAATTAGATCGGATTGTTGTTTGGTAAAATGATGAACTGTAGAGATGCTTATAATTTGATTATTTTCCGTGAACAAAACAAAAACCTTTGGAATAACTACACGTATATTGGGTCCCACGTAGTAGAAATACTATTTGATAAACATCATCATCATTATTACATAGTACGGTAACACAAAGCCTAGAAGCTTTGCATTATATTTTGATTGATATATAAACGTAATTTGAATTTACATATAATTTTTAGTTGTATATTAATTGGTTTGGTTTGGCTCACGAGTCGGGCACTTTTGGTCCAATGTTGCATGTTGACTACGGGATGAATTTCTGATTAGATAAACTGTTCGGGTTATTTTTTTTGCCAAGAAATTGGGTATGATTTCTATTATCGAATTACTCTAAATAGTATTTGTATCGAAACCTTTCCCAGTTTAAAGAATCTGAACTCTGATATTACTTTTATTTTGATAATACGTATAACTTAAAACTGCACAATATAGATGATCGAGGCTAGGAACATAGGCTAACTAATCAAAAACATGGGTTAATGCATTTTGTCAACGATAGAGCCCATTACTGGCCACATTATGTAGTTATGTAATCAAATTTGATCCGACCTACTTTTAAGTAAAAATATAAGTGGCACTATTACGTATCATTAGATCGAGGCTAGCAGATAATCTAAAAGAAATGTGGATACCGTCTTTGGCCCAGTCCCAAACCATTTAGACGCACCACCGGCCTTACTATATAGTTGTGCATGGACGCGTCGTCGGGTAGGTTGATGATCTCCATTACGATCTCGACATTGCGTGATTCGATGGCGTGGAGTAGGGCGTCCTCTATGGGCACCTTGCAAGCAATCAAGGTTGTCAAAACATCTGTCGTGGGTAAAGTTCAATGAATAAATATTATTTTGTGCGCTTACTTATAAACTACATGTATTTGTATGAAACTATGAATATCTAAATTCAATACATATTAAGTAATCGTGACGATTATGTGCAATTTGTCCCGTAAGACATGTCTTCTTTTTTCTTCATTTCATAAAAAGGAAATAATATCTTAATATGACCATTCAGTGTCAGTGATACCAGGATGAACCATTAGTCAATCATCATATTAAGTGATTCACATTTTTGGATGAATTTCAAGACGGTGGTATGAGACACTTTGCACGGAGTCGCCGTGAGGTGGTTTTAAGTTTGCAATTGATTTGGAATACATTACAACTATACAAGACGGGGCTCTAGTCCAAATTTTCTTTTAATTCATTGTATTCGTGTATTTGAGAATAAATGGATCTGAGTAAAATCTCAGCATTTTTAATTTGATGCCATTTCAAAATTTGTCATCATTCAATTCGGTGGTTCTTCGCCTTTTTAATTGTTTGGATAGCATTAATAATAATAATAATATTTAATTTTTATATAGCGCTTAATACAAATGTCTTTAAGCGCTTTACAAATATTCTATTCGATCCGCATTCACTTACTTTTTTTTTATTTATCCCTTACAACAGTACTCATGAGTTTCTTGAAATATTTATTGGAAGGGAAAGAAGACGAGGACCAACGCGAAAGAGAACATGAGGACCTGGAGAGGAATGACACTGCAAGAGTGTATCAAAATGGCAGATAACAGAGATAATGTGGAAAAATATTGCCAACAACCTCTGAGCTGGAAGAAGATACCTTGATAAACAAAAAGCTCATAGGCCGATTTTCTTTCATTTTGGTATGAATTTCATTTGAGTCTTACTTATCTTTTTGTAAAATAAGGACAAGCCTACTTTTTCCCCAATTCCCCACTACATATCTCCACTTATTCCTCTCTCTCACTTAATCTCATTTCTCTTCATATATCTTACCCTCTTCATCTCTCTCTCTCTCTAACTTTCTCTGTGATTCTACTTTATTATCGTTCTCCCCATTTTCTCTGAGAAAATACCAACGCTATACAGAAAGAGAAGATACTGATTTCTGATTTATTGCCATTTGCATCATTTATTTCAAGGGCTGATTTGTAGTCCAATGCAGTTCATCGAACTTTGAGTCATAAATCTGCTTGTTTTCCTTGTAACAGCAATGTTTGGTTTGGTAGTAGTCATTCTAAACAATTCTCTGCAGCATTAAGTTTGGGCGGATTCTGCTTTTCTTTTGAGATTCATTCGTTTCATGAGCTCGAGTTCGATTTGCTCTGAAGAATTTGAAATGTTGAAGACAGTACAAATCTCTATCTATTCAAAAGTTGGCGATGTGCAAGGAATTGTTGCTCTCTAATTCTGCTTCATGCATCTGAGTGAGAAAGAAAGAGAAAAGAATGCCTTTTTTAAAGGTTTGAAAATGCATGCACGTTTCATTTTCGTTACTAAAATCCTACTGTTTAATACTATACGTTTACTTTTATGTATTCAGCTTTCCTATATGGATAACACTTAATCAAAGGATTTTCTTCTACAAAATTTGCGAATACGAGAAACTTTTATCTTAACTCTTTCTAATTATATAACCCTCGCTTACATTTCACTATACAACATCACACGATATACCAACGTGCTTGAGGAAAATTAAAAATGCTCACCACAGAATGATAAGTGGTCTTTGTTTCATATCAACAGAGTATCCCCTTGATGAGATCTGTATGATCTTCACTGCTCATAATCTGAAGCTGGTTTCAGGGCTTAGGTAGGTTATAATCATGACTTGGTCATTTATCCTACTTTGGTGCAGTTCCAATCTCTGTCTCCTGATGCTGTCTTCTGAAGCTTGTTTCAGGGCTTAGGCAGGTTATAATCATGACTTGGTCATTAATCCTACTTTGGTGCAGTTCCAATCTATGTCTCCTGATGCTGTCTTCTGAAGCTGGTTTCAGGGCTTAGGCAGGTTATAATCATGACTTGGTCATTCATCCTGCCTTGCTGCAGTTCCAATCTCTGTCTCCTGATGATGTCTTCTGAAGCTAATTGCAGGGCTAAGGCAGGTTATAATTATGACTTTGTCATTTATACTGCCTTGCTGCAGTTTCAATCTCTGTCTTCTGAAGCTGGTTTCAGGGCTTAGGCAGGTTGTAATCATGACTTGGTCATTACTCCTGCCTTGCTGCATTTCCAATCTCTGTCTCCTGATGCTGTCTTCTGAAGCTGGTTTCAGGGCATAGGCAGGTAACGCAGGTTATAATCATGACTTGGTCATTTATCCTGCTTTGCTGCAGTTCTAATCTCTGTCTCCTGATGCTGTCTTCTGAAGCTGGTTTCAGGGCTTAGGCAGGTTATAACCATGACTTGGTCATTTATACTGCCTTGCTGCAGTTTCAATCTCTGTCTTCTGAAGCTGGTTTCAGGGCTTAGGCGATTATGATCACGACTTTGTCATTTATCCTGCCATGCTGCATTTCCAATCTCTGTCTCCTGATGCTGTCTTCTGAAGCTGGTTTCAGGGCTTAGGCAGGTTATAACCATGACTTGGTCATTTATCCTGCCTTGCTGCATATCCAATCTCTGTCTCCTGATGATGTCTTCTGAAGCTGGTTTCAGGGCTTAGGCAGGTTATAATCATGACTTGGTCATTTTTCCCCGTGCTGCATTTCCAATCTCTGTCTCCTGATGCTGTCTTCTGAAGCTGGTTTCAGGGCTTAGGCAGATTATGATCATGACTTTGTCATTTCTCCTGCCTTAATTGCTGCCGTTCCATTCTCTGTCTCCTGATGCTGTCTTCTGAAGCTGGTTTCAGGGCTTAGGCAGGTTATAATCATGACTTGGTCATTTATCCTGCTTTGAGGCTCTCCAATTCTGCTACATGCAAATGAGGGAGAAAGAAAGAGAAAAGAAAAGGCCTTTCTAAATGGTTTGAAAATGCATGCACGTTTCATTTTCGTTACTAAAATACTACTGTATAATAATATACGTTTACTTTTATGTACTTAGCTTTCGTCTATGGACAACACTAAATCAAAGGATTTTCTTACACAAAATGTGCGAATATGAGAAAATTTTATCTTAACTCTTTCTAACTATATACCCCCGCTTACACTTCACTGTACAACATCACACGATATACCAAAAGTGCTTGAGGAAAATTAAAAATGCTCACCACAGAATGATAAGTGGTCTTCGTGTCTTATCAACAGAGTAGCTCCTTGATGAGAGCTGTATGATCTTCACGGCTCTCATCTTCATCCTTCCTATCCCGGGCCCTGCATGCCTGGGGTCTACTAGTCTTAACCAGATGCTCTCCGGAGGAAAAGAAAGCAGAACATGAATTGATTGAAACACAATATTGATGGATTGATTGATTGACTGATCGACTGATCAATTGAATGATAGATTGGTTAATTATTAATAAATTGACTGATCGTTATATTTAGTGTATTGACGGCACGACAGGCTGAATGGTTGATGAATTGTTTGATTGGTGGAATACCTTATGACTTGACTGACCGAAAGATTGATCTAATTATGACTTTAAAACTCTATAGCACTTTTAAGTATCATATTTTTTTTCGGCCATTTTGTATTATTTATTTTCTAAATCATAGGCACAATATAACATGACCTTATATATTAAAGTAACTGGAGATAGAGAAAAACAAGAAGGGAAAAAATACAAACTTACCATAATTAAAGTCTCCTCAGTCATTAGAGCGTCTTCCAGCTTCGTGATAAGAGCTGTATTATCTTTATTTATAAGCTCTCATCCTCACTCCTCCCTACGTTCTCCAGTCCTAGCCCCAGTGTCTACCAGATGTACTCATCGCTAGACACATCCATGAAGCGCTCTGCAAAAAAAATGAGAGTGTTAGATTAGAAGGTGATTGATTGGTTGATGGACTAATTGAGCATAATTTAGTGTGTGTGTCTTTTGTTTGATTGGTTGGTTACTCATAGTTAAGAGTGTATGATCAAAGGAATAATTGGTTGATTACTTGGTTGCTTAGTTGGTTGATGGACTAATGGTTCAGTGACTGAGCCTTTCATTATTTTATCGATGATAATGTTTTCGTGAGACTTTTTATTTGTGCTACTCTTTTGTAATACTTGCAGAATAAATTCAAGTTCAATATAAATCTTGATTATTTCATCAACTCACTCCTGACAATGAAGTCGTAGGTGGCGTGCTTGTCTCGCTTGTATGAGGTCGAGGGCTGGTCGATGTCAGTCTCGGAGTCCGTCTCGAAGTCAGGCGGGTATTCGTCATCCGTTGGGTGGCCTGAATATGGTAATACAATAAAGATTCAAAGTGGGATTTTAATAGCACAGTGATTTTAAAAAAATGAGAGGTTTAATTATCTTTTCATCAACTGACATTCAACGAATTGCTATTATTCATTCGAAACTTTAAAAAAAACTCTAGGTGATCCAATGATAAACAAGTTGATTCATGCACCCTTTGTTATAGATTTACATCTATCCATTATTGTGTAACACTAAAAAAATATGAAAATGAATAATCACTAGTACATAACACCGAAGATACTAATTACTTTTTACAACCAAATAAAATTTGATCATTCCGGTATACCTTTTTTTACATACGCTGTAACATAGTGATTCAATGACACTAAATGTACTTGGAAAAAAACAAACACATAATTGGGATCTCTTCATCTAATTTTAACAATATATTTAGTGAACAATGTTTTGTTATTTCATTGGACCTACCTATCATAACTTAGAAAACTTGAAATTGCTTTTTATTCTAATTGATATCATTAGTAACCAATTCATATATCCATTTTGTCGGTATATTAATTGTATTCCTTCCTCCATCCTTTCATTATATTTCCCGATTTATGATTTATAACATTTACGAACAAATACAATTAGATCACTCCGGTTTATGTTTTTTTTTCCACATAAATTATGTTGTTACATATTGATTTTATAATACTTCGTGATTTCAAACCAACCTGAGGGAGTATGATCTCCAGTCTCCTTACGGTCGACGACGGCCTTCCCGTCATCATCGTGGCCAAAGACGTCCATCACATCTCCGTCCTCTTGGTGGCCTGATTACGGTAGCATAATAAAGGTTCAAAGAGGGATTCTTAATAGCACAGTGATTGTCGGGATATGAGAGGTTTAATTATCTCTTCATTAACTGTAATGCAACGCATCGTTATTATTCATTCGAAACTTCAAAAACTCTAATATGCTTTTCACACTGGCAATATTTTCCTTAACCCCGTACTATAGGTGGGGTTAAGGGGGGGGGGGGGGGGTCTTAACCCCACCTATAGTACGGGGTTAAGCCTATTCCACTTTCTGTTCAGACTGGTTTTTACCAAAGTGGGCTAAAGTTGGCTAACCCCACCTATAGTACGGGGTTAACTAACCCTGCAAAATAGCAGGGCTAACTCCGCAATTGTGGTGCTAACTCCTGCTAACCCCGCAATTGCGGTGCTAAGCAAATGAATGAGAACAGAAGCGAAAATAGTCCGGTACTACGCAATGGAGCGTATCGCAGCTGGCCAGATGCGAGGTATGTCCAATCATAACATACACGATATCCGGGGTTAACGAAATGCAGTGAGAACAGCGGGAATTTTCTTATTCCGGAATAGGCGCTAGTACGGGACTAAAAACAGCGAGTGTGAAAAGCCAAAAAAATAGTCCGGGGTTAAGGATAGTACGGGGCTAAGCAAAGTACGGGGTTAAGCAAAACCAGTGTGAAAAGAGTATTAGTGATCCAATGATTGACAAGTCGATTCACGCACCCTTTGTTATAAATGTACATATATCCATTATTGTGTAACACTAGAAAAATATGAAAATAAATCATCGCTAGTATATACTTTTTACTACCAGATAACATTAGTTCATTCCGGTATACTTTTCTTTTTACATATGCTGTGACATATGGATTCTATAATATTAAATATACTTGGAAAAAATAACAAATAATGTTAATCTTTTCATCTACTTTTTACAACATATTTAGTGAAACATGTTTTGTTATTTCATTGGACATACCTATCATAACTTAAGATTGCTTTTTATTCTAATTGATATCGTTAGTAACCAATTCATATATCCATTTAGTCGGTAAAATTATATCCATTCCTCTATATTCTTTCATTATATTTCCCAATTATTTATAACTTTAAACATTTACAAACAAATACAAATAGATCAGTCCGGTATAAGTTTTTTCCCCTCCCACATAATGTACATTTATGCTGTTAGTACCTGTTACATATTGACTATATAATACTTCGTGATTTCAAACCAACCTGAGGGAGTATGATCTCCAGTCTCCTTACGGTTGACGACGGCCTTCCCGTCATCATCGTGGCCAAAGACGTCCATCACATTCTCCATCTTCCTGTCGATGTCGACGAAGGCCCAGAGGAGAGCGAAGGCGACGCTGATGTTGACGTGGGTGATCCAGGACAGGGATACCATGAACAGGAAGTCATTCTCTTCGACGAAAACATCGTCGATCTCTGATGATGCTCCGTCGTCACTGGTGACGTTACTAGCTAGAGAGCCGCTGGAGAGATAGACGCTGCTATCCTCATCTGTATAGAAAATGTTATTGAATGAAAAGTTTGAAAGCCATAATCGTATTTTGTGAACTTAACATAAAAAAAAAAGACATGATCGAAAAGCATTAATTGTGGCAAACTTAAACAAAAAATTAAGCCATAATAGATTAATATAGGTATAATAAATAGTATCAATTTGGCAAAGCTAACATTTCAAGCTATTATGATATAGAAATGGTTCGGATTTTTAAAAATAAATAAAGTTATAACCTTTTATAATTAATTTGGGGACTCAACATTTCAAAGCCAAAATCTTATTGCCAAACTTCACATTTTAAAGCCAAATCAAAATGTAATTTGGAAAATTTGAGACATTTAACAAGCAAAATCATAATCATGTAGTATCAATTTAGCATACACAATATCTTAGAGCCATAATCATAGATTTGACATGTTAAAAACACGTCTCCGTGCGTGCTATATTATTACGTAACAGATGAAATAAGATCCCTTGTATATTCATTATTCACTATTAGCTTCGTTTCGTGTTCTTAAGGCACTCACAGAATTCATTAAAGCTCACAAATAAAAATGATGGATTTTAATGACAGTCAATTAGTGTCATGTGACAGTAAACCATAAACTTTTGTGGCTCAAGAATTGCATAATAGGAATGAAATGTAAAATGCCGGTAATTATAATACCCGTTTCTTAGAACACGCTTGAACATAATACTGACCAAAGTGCTCACAGTAGTATTATTACGGGTACAATGCTTCCCAAGATAGGAACTGACTTGATATTATGACACATAGTTAAACATTTGAACTGGGCGTTACTGAAAAGGCAAAAAGTTATGTCCAGGTTGACTAAGCAGGGGTATCGAACTGAGAGGGGAACCTGAAAAAGGGGAGAGAAGTCAAGGACATAAACTACACAAAATAATACTTCTAACATATGTGTTTGCCATATTTCCCGATCCTAGAGAATCAATTTATTGATTCCTTCTTTTTGCAGTTTGTACAATTATCTTGAAACAATATTTAAAGATTTTGTTTTGTATACATGTAGCTGACCTGTCTGCTTGATGACGTCATCGTTCATCTCGACCATCGTGTCCATCTTCTGACCAATCACAGAGCGTGTCTCATTGCACACATCAGCAGGACCTTTGGCCTTCTTTGTCTTACCGCCCTTGCCACGGTTGACTTTATTTGGGATGGTAAATAAATATAAATGGCTGCATGATCTTTGAATGAATGAATGAATGAATGAATAAAAAAATATGTAATTGCATAAATTAATAAATAGTAAATAAGTAAATAAATTATTACATGTAAATCAATAAATGAATGAATAGATAAAAAAACAAAACATAATCAATGGTACAATTTGTTCTTCTATAACGGCATACCCTTAGCCTTGCAAGAGGCTCTGTGAGTGAATCTGTGGACTCTGATCCTGTCATCGATCTCGTCGTCATCAGATTCGATGTCAGCATCACCCATGTACTCATCGTCATCCGATGATTCGTCGTCACATGACTCTTTATCGCTGTCATCGTTGACGAATCGATCTGTCACGAGTCAAGCAGTATAACATGTTATCAAAAGAAACAAATTATTTACTGAATATGTATAAAATAATATTATAATGTATTTTGAAATATGTAAAAATCCTACTGTTCGAAATCATCGCTGTGTCTAATTTCTCCATCTTGGCTTTCACTATCATAATTATGTCATCCTGACGCTCTTTTCATGATTATTTTCACTTTCGCTTCCTCTCCATCTTGGACATAAGAAATGTTTGTTTAAACAACAATACTAAATTTTTATTTTTTATTTTTTTAATGTAATGAAAGATAAAGTACCCATCAAATACAAATAAAACCCGCAATACTCTAACGGCCTTGATTCAGTTAAGGTTCTAATTACTTTTTACAACCAAATAAAATTAGATCATTCAGGTATACTTTTTTTTCTCATGAAAAGTAAGACGAAAATCCAACTTACGGTAGTAAAGGAAGTCCCATGTAGATACCCTACGGTCAGCTGGGTAAGAGGTTGATGGACGGACCCTCTTTACTGACCGCTTGCCCTTCTGGCCAATCAAAGGGCTTGATTTTACTCCCTGGCAGTTGATTGGCTCAATATTCTGACAAATCAGCTCGCTGAGAATAGCCTGTAGGACGTGACGACGAAGGACTTTAGGCTCGACGGCGACGATGACTGTTGTTGGAGAGACTTGAGCAGTGTTGGAATTCTGCACAAGATCGTCATCGTCGTGTTTCTTGTCGTCACGGCCTTCGGCATCAGTCTCCGGCTCCGAAGGAACCACCTGAAATGCAATTTGTCTCAGTTATAATGATAGTGGGGATGTGTTCTGCATCCGGATGTTGGATGCGGCTCATGATTTTTTTTTATCAAGGGGGGGGGGGGAGGGCCGCAAAACCCAGGCTGCCCAATAGTACATCTTAGATATAATAGTACAATAAAGCATGGCATGCAGGTCCGATACCGTTTAACTGACAGCATTCCTAAAATGGACAGCTGTTGAGTTAACGTTAACGTATAAAGCTTATAATATCCCCAACCCGGACAAAGCACATTGCATTATACAATCACTCGTATAGGCATGTTTCTCCAAAAAAATAGCCACCAACGTAACGCTAACCCTATTTTATTTAAAACAAGATGTGCAAATGTTATGTCAGTTGCTATGTTTAGAAAATGCGTTTACGAATGATTTTTTGTGAAGCCCCCATCCTTCCTACCTCAATCCACCACTGTCAATATCGACCTTCTCTCTTCCCTTCTCCGTCCCGATAAAGGCTCTCGCACGCTCTCTCTCTCTCTCTCTCTCTCTCTCTCTCTCTCTTTCTCACTCTCTCTCACTCCCTGCCCCTATTTCTAATCTCTCTTCCACTCTCCGCAAACATCGTTGCACAATATAATGACATAATTGTGACAGATGCAAGCACATCATTGATGTCGTATGATTGGGGGGGGGGGGTGTCCGGACATTAACAAACATAAAGCTTTCACATTTGCCTTCCGTTTTAACGACAAATAATCATATACCACTAGCTCTAACCATCATGAATATTTTTCCTTTTTAATATCGTCCAAAGTAAGTCTTAGAAAATGTAGGATACTGTATATTGCTTGTAAACTTCTTTAAGTTGCCGTTTTGAATCAACAATTATTGTTCGGATACACAAACTGTCCGGACACACAACGTCTGGGTTTAAAGACTCAGTAATTCAAAAAAAAAAATACACCTCCTTGCTCAGACAAAACACTATAATCTATTTGATAATCATTTTCATTCAAGAAATCTGTGTAGACAACCCAACATATTTCTTATGTAAATGTGTGAGAACTGTTTCTTTACTTTAAAAAATAATAGATAAGTGATACTAAACATCACATGAGCAGCAGCGAACCAGTTTGATTGGTCTATTAAGCACTCTTATTACAGGGAGTGCTGGTGTGACCACCTGCCAACAAAATATTTGTTGATAACCGAACTGGCTATTTTTTTTTTAAGTGTTCAATATTAATTATCATATGCAAATTTATCAAACCATTACAGTAGAGTAAAGTACCCGGTTTTCGGCCACTTAAGACAAAATCCTATTTATTGGACTCTTTACTTCCTATTTATTATCATTTCTTGTTCAAATCATGAAGCAAATATTATTATTATTTAAACAAAAAAAGAATCCCAAAAAAAAATCACGAATTGCCATGACAATATTCATTTCAATTTTCACTGTTTTGGAGCCGGTTATCGGCCGAGCGTTTCAGTTTACGGCCGCATGTACAAAGTCAATAGGAAGCGCTCGCGCGCGCCGTGCGTTTCTGCGCTGATGTATAGCACAAGCGGGCGGAGCAGGTATCCCACGCCGGAGCTCCCGGGTGCTCGCCTGGCCGAATACAGGCACAGCGGTGATCGGAAGTTGGAATCTGAATTAGACAGACATATCGTGTGTGCGTCGCGGTGTGCGGCTGCATTGATTTAATACATGCGACGAGATACTTTTGAGCTTGCGACCAGCACAAAATCGGGCTCTATATCTGAAAAATACTTGAAATAAAGCTCATTTTATGGTACCCATATTTCTTACATACACGCGTAAGAAACTCGATTTTTCAGATTTGGGTAGCGGGACCGCCGATTACATCGCTAAAATGTGATATTTTAGGATATATTTTGCATTGCAAATGTGGTTCTTCAGTGACACTGGCATGGTATGGTATGTGTGGGATATGTGTTATGCTATTATGCGATGTATTTTAAAGTGATTTTACCATGTATCCAACCAATTGGCCGAAAACCGGAGCTGACCGATTACCGGGTACTTTACTCTACTCTGAAGTATTTGAAGGAGAATAAATACAGAAATGTAATGAAGAAAAAGCAAAAATTAGACCTAGGGCGTTATATATAAAGTATGACACAATTAAAAAACACTGACAAGTTGATCTAAACAGAGGGGAGGTGAGTGATTCTTAAACATTTGTCTTTACCTTTGTGTTCCTCGAGAAGAGGTTCTTGATTCCCGCCCAGCAGCTTGTCCCACTGGCCTCAGTAGAACAGCTGCTTTTCTCTTCGATTTCATCCTCGGATAGCACAGGCACAACTTTGGATTTCGACGAACCCATAATTGAAAGCGATCCGAAACAATTCTGAAGAAATTTCCGATAATTGCTAGACAAAAGCAAGTAGCTAGTTAGCACAAAAGAGATAACTAGAAAGTGAAGTATAACGCAATTAATAATACGTTGGTAGTTACCAGAGAAGTGCGCATGCGCATATCATGCTATAACGCGTGCATGCCTCTTACGTCAACAATGGCACAGATGCGCGCATACAAAAGTTTGCAAACTTTTCCTGTATGGAAACTTCGGCAGGTCCAACGCATTCTCTACTAGTATAGAGATTGGTTGCATTATAGCAAACGGCATTGCTGCAAGATTAATTTGACAGTGTTTTAAATACACATGAAAGTTATTGAACATTATCTACAATAGTTAATATAATAATCTAAACCTTGTATTTATTCATGTATACGACCAAGAAAAATGAATCTAAATACTTGCAGAACCAGGTGCAAAACTCAATATTCGTGAAATCGCTTTTGTTAAGGCCCGGTCTTACCGCCAGAACTTTGCTGGAGCGTTCCTTGAACGGTAGGGAGAGGGGGCCGAATTTCGACAACGCTCGTCACCACGCACAAAATGGGAAACAAATCGAAAACACGGGCGTTGCCTTAGCGGTGCACCGCTGAAGCCGGCGTTGCTTTAGCGTTGGTCCCGCTCCGACACCTCCATACCAACGCCAAACCAAAGTTCATCACCGCAATGGATCGCTGCTTCAACGCCCGACACCGTTCCAGCAATCCCGTGTCCGCTCGTAAAACGCTTACAACCGCTCCACCAAAGTTTGTGCTACGTTTAATCACCGCCCGGGCAAAGCTGGCGAAGCAGCGGTGGTCCAGCGTTCAAGATTTCTGCGTTGGCCTAGCGGACCAAAGCGTCCACGAACTTGCGTCTAGCGGTGCCAAACTTTGACTGGGCGTTGTTGGAGCGGTGGTGAACTTAAGGCCCGGTCTCACCGCCAGAACTTTGGTTTGGCGTTGGTATGGAGGTGTCGAAGCGGGACCAACGCTCGCTACCGCTCGCTACCGCTCGCCCACGCTAAAGCAACGCCGGCTTCAGCGGTGCACCGTGTTTTTGTTTCCCATTTTGTGCGCGGTGACGAGCGTTGTCGAAATTCGGCCCCCTCTCCCTACCGTTCAAGGAACGCTCCAGCAAAGTTCTGGCGGTGAGACCGGGCCTTTAGATAATATGTTTACCCAGCGCGTTTGCAAAACTTCCATTAACGAGGTATTTGGGTTGGGTATGCTGTTTGAATTGTTTTACGTTGTCGCTCTTGTTGTTGATGTTGTTCGTTTTGTTTATTTTTAATTTCTTCCTATTTATAAATATAAGCCAAGGGCGTCACATCCTCCTTGTAGCGACCTATTGGTATTCACTGGTATCATATTCGTATAAAAATTTAAACATTCAATATTTAAATCAAAATTTGCATAACGTCTTTTAGATTAATTTCATTTATTTCACTTATTAATTTTATTAATTTGTTCATTCGATCATTTATCCATTTATTCATTCATTCATTCATTTATATCTATTTATTTATCAAAATTATTAAAATGATATTGAAATTTAATTCAAATTATTTATCCAAATTCTTACACGTTGTATTTATAATTGTAATCAAACAGCCCAAGGGCTGCATTTTACATTTTAAAGAATGTTTCAAACAATGTCTTCTTTCTCATGCCATAATTAATTCATTACATAAACTAATTAAATGATTAATTCTTTTACTTATTCATTTGTTATTTCTTTATCAATATGACTCCCATGGAAGAACAGAGATATTATCTAAATGCCACTGTATGCATGAAATGGGTTATTCGGCATATTTACCATTCATCATAAATCAATTTTACTTTTTGTTATACTGCTATGGGAAAGAGGCACGTTTGAATATGATCATGCTAACACTCATTTTAGAGGAAATTAAAAGAATATACCTATGACCTGAGAGTCAGAGGAGAGATGTGAATTACAAATTTATGATTGCCTGAATACAGAACACTGTATTTTCTCTGCCAGGTTCATACTTTGTAATTTTGTATATACTTGTGTTTTTGTACGTTTTAGAAATTCAACATATTCATCATTATTTTCCTCTTCTTCCTCCTCCTCCTCCTCATCCTCTTTTTCTTCTTCTTCTTCTTCTTCTTCTTCTTCTTCTTCTTCTTCTTCTTCTTCTTCATCCTCTTCTTCTTCTTCTTCTTCTTCTTCTTCTTCTTCTTCTTCTTCTTCTTCTTCTTCTTTTTCTTCTCTCTTGTACTTATTATCATTTCTACCATTATTATTTTAATGTTGTTATTATTATTATCATCTTTATTATCATTAATAATTGTTTTCTTATCTGTCTGTAAATAATAAGATTTTGTGTACATGGTTGTATGTCGGGGACCCCACTGGAAATAAGCTCTCGAGCTTTCTTAGTTTATCCTTTTCAAGCTGACTTAATGTTGATCTGTTATTCGTTTAAATTGTTGTATATGTTAAAGGTAATACAAAGTTTTGGTATTGGGTCATGAATTTGGTGGAAATTAACATATTGGAAGCATATGCGATCCTACAATATTCAGTGATCGTTGTCGCGGTTGAAATTGAGTCTAAAGTAATGAAATTGTTAATAATCTCTTTACGTTGTATAGCTCTCTCTCAGGGTAAATATAAAATTATGCTATAAAACAATGTTTCTTGACTAAAATCAACCGATTAGCTATTCCTGTTTGGAAATTATATATCACAACTATATTATGCTGAGATTTTCATGGTCGCAGCTACCATTGTACAGCCGTAGGCGCTATTTGAAACTTATCAAAATTTACCGGGAGCACCGGTAAATTGTTATATTCAATTGTTCTCGAAAGCAGAAGTGTTTTAGGGGCTAAATTTTCTAGTACTTAAAATACATCCACAGGGGCATCCAAAAATATCAAAATTGTTAAGAATCACTATCTACCAATTTTTCCAAATTTCCCAAAACTTTGTATTACCTTTAACGGCTTGGCGAACAAAATGTAATCAATCAATCAATCAAGTTGTCCACTTGTCATATCATGTTGTCACGCACTTTGTATGTTAATACGGATAGGCCTACTTCTTTCTCTCTGCAGAATAAAGACATGCTGATATTCTAACACAAACGATATGGACCATTGTTTAATTCCAAGAAAGTAAACGCATTTGATAGCTCAGTATAAGTATCAACATATGCAGAAACGAGAAGGATTCTTCCTGACTTCAGATTTATATACATGTATAATAATGAGAACATTATAAAGCCTGCTCATTGAATATATAGATCATGAGAGTTCATAGAATAGAGGGGGAAATGGTGTCAGACACGGAACACGGTAGACGTTGTTCATATATCTACGATTATAGACAAGTCCCAGAATACCAGCTATTTGACCACACCTCAGGGACGAACATGGTTAACTTAATAAGCAGGGGAAAACAAAGAATATTTCAATTTAGATCTTGGCCCGGTGATCTGTATTATCAACCCATCTCTCATTTGATTTATATTTGTTTTTAAAGTTACTTGACGTATTTTCCTAGTCTTCAACTGAAACTAATATATGTGACGACAATAACAATACATTATGCTTTAACAATTAGTGATAAAAACACCAACAAAAATTACTATTAATCTACTCTTAATAATAAAGAATAAAAAACTATAAAACGATATGCCTTGGGGGTTTATATTGTGTGCAAAATCTCTCTCTCTCTCTCTCTTCACCTCTCTCTCTCTCTTCATCTCTCTCTCTCTCTCTCTCTCTCTCTCTCTCTCTCTCACACACACACACACACACACACACACGCACACACTCTCTCTCTATTCAAGCATACACACATGTAGCCGAGGATAAACTGCACATTTACAAACCTGTGAGTCTTCTTTTCTTTTTTTAAGCAGAGAAGATAACTACAACGAAACAAAACAAACCAAACCAAACCAAGCAAAAATGAGAATAGATTACAAGAATACCAGAACATAATCCAATCGTAAAAAAATATATTGTATCTCCGCATCACGTACCTATGTGTTCATGATGGACGGCCTCCTCCATACCGAAACTCCACAATGCTTTGGAAACCTTGGCGTTTAAGGGGTCTCGAACCATGGTCTCCACACCTTCCACATTCCCGGCACGAACCAATCTCAGAAACTTCTTCTTCAGACTTTCCATCTCGCTTGGTTCATCTGTAACCCTCACTTCACTGGGTTCTATCTCTACATCCATTTTAGAGAAGCGATGATCGGTGTACAATTATCTCTAAAACTTCAAAATTTTCGCTCCAGAAATACTCCGTTTTTATTACGTTCTTGGTTTTGTTGCCGTTAGCTATGACTTTTTACCAGACGAATGAGGTGTTAAACTTGGCAAAAAGTCATGCTGGAGACAAACATGAATTGACTGTCGTTATTCCGTTGGAGCTGCTGTTCTTTTGACGTAAATGATATTTTTTGCAGACGATATACGAGTGGTATACAATAATCACTGTATATATTTTACCATTTCATGCACAAGGATATTTTGAATGTCGTTGATTTATTGCTGAGTGTGCTTCCGTTGCGGTCAGTCATTTTCGCAGACGTTCTTATACATATCTGATAAAATAGTACATCCAATTAAAACGGTGGCTATATTTACATCCGTCAGACAGGCTAGACAGATTAATTTGTAAAACAGAAAACTGTACAACTCTTCAATCGAAACTGCAGAACTCAAAACTTCTTAGTTGCTGGAACTAGTGGCAACTTCGGCAATACAGTAAAATGGCGGAACAATAAGTGCGTCGTATTGAAGACAGAATCAACATCGACGAAAAGAACATTAAGCTGCGGATAGGATGTAGAGCCGTAAGTCTTCCAATTTTAATGAATTAGTCATGTTCAAGAAAACATTTGTTCCATGTTTCCATCCTCTGCAAAACAAATTCCTGGATGAGTAAAACAGCAGACCAAGTTGTCTCCCAAGATTATTCTCAGTAGTTACTATATATTCATCATTAAAATCCGTAAATGTATATTATGGCAGTGTTTGGTGAAAGACGTGGATAACATCAGATAATCAGCATCTTAGAGCGAAAACGTGCATGATGCAACACAAATAACGTCATATATAAACAAAAATCCCGTTTATAAACAATAATGTCGCTCTTACTTGCACGAATACACTGCTTTTCAATGGTCAACATAATATACTTCTAGTACATTTTACGCAACGTGGGAGGAACCTTGACAAAGAACGGTCGGTGGACTATTTTTCTGCATTCCGCGAGGCCGTATTGTTATGTCTAAAAAGGCGGGTATGTACTGGTACATTAATGGTCAATGAAATCTGCCTGAAAATATGAAGGTGGGGATACAGATGGCATTGTCTATTCATTTTCACTGCGTATTGCATAACATCAATAATATTTTACGATTATCATGAAATTGTTTATGTCAATCAAACAATTAATATTTTGTGTTTTAATAATAAAATGTCATGATTATTTAGACACCAAGATGCTAATAATCATAATAATAACTGCTGAATCCGTCCCTGGAACGTGTGAGAAGATATAGTATTTTTGCCAAAGACATTGAACAAATTGAGAGTGGACGCCAGGATATTTCTTAACAGGAGTTGGAGGTTTGGAAGCAAATGTGCTCTGTGAAAAAGGTGTGGGGAAGGTATTATTAAGCAATCGAAGAGAAAAAGACAGACGTGTCGCCTGGTACTATATTAGATTCGGGGACGTAACTCCCTTCTGCATGGTTTAATTTGGTTCATGTACATCTTATCTTGATAATTTGGATTTGGAGCAGTTACTGTAAACTACTTGATGAAAAATGCTGTGCAATATACATTGTATTTCCTTAGTATATTTACCATATCCACGCTGTAACTCAACAACGCTTTTTCATGCTATCGCGTTCTCTTTTCGTGTTGACGTAAACATGTACCTGCAATATTACACGTATGCGAGTATGATCGATTAGTGTCATCATCGTATCATCTCTCTTACAATATTCTTCTCTGAATTCACATTTCTCCATTTCAGTTTCCTACTTTCTCACTCTCTTCTTGCTGTGCCTGTGTATATATAGGCATAATATCTTCCCTTTATCCCATGATAACTATTCATTTTATGTTGTCTGTTTTTTGTCTCTTAAATTTCTTTCCCGCCTCTCTCTCTCTCATATTTTCTTTGTTCCCCTCTCTCTCTCTCTCTCTCTCATTTTCTTTGTCCCCCCCCCTCTCTCTCTCTCTGCCACTATCTCTCCCCCTGTCTCCTTCACCTTCTCATTACTATTTTACTTTGTGATCAACTGCAGAATACCCCACCACACAAGTAAACCTCTTCCAAACCCTGACCCTTGACCCAACTCAAAGCCTAATCATATTGTATTAATGTGTGATCTATAGTATTAAGCAGCGAAGTACTATTTATAGTCAGTCTTCATCTTTGTCTGTAGTGTTAGGATTTGACTCAACTGGGTGCCGTTGCACAAAACTTACCATCGATGGTAATTTCGCCAGCAATGGCTACTACCATGGTAACAGGACTCAACAGCCAATCAAAATGAAGGTTACCATGGTAGTTACCATTGATGGCAAAGTTATCATCAATTGTAAGTTTTGTGCAATGGGGCACTGGTCTCCGACTTGCCACCAATTTGATGCGCTAATGCCCTTTGGTAAATAATTCCTCCTCATTACCCAGTCCCCTCGCAGAGGACTTAGAACCATCGGTCCCCTGGTTGCTAATATATACAGCATTATACAGTCAAACCTGATTTATATAGTGACCACCTGTCTAGAAAGACCACAATTTTTGTTTCCCTTGAAAATGGTTTCTAATTGAAACATGTACTAAATGAACCTGTCTACAAAGACTAACCTTTTGTGTTTCCCTTGGGCGGCCGCTATAAACAGGTTTGACTGTACATCCTTTCTTAACATTCATTCAGGTAAAACAAAACAACAAGCCAAATCAAACTTAGAAATGATCACAGAAACTCTTTTCTTTTTTTGTTGTAAATTTTATCTGCACAACAGTGTCTTTATTCTCATTAGATGAATCTCAATCTTTACAAAGTCAAAGTATTTCTCCTTGCATTTTCTTAAACCTGAACTTGCAGGAAAACAATGCAGTCAAACTAAGATATAAAACGAAAAACGCAATGAAAATCCATAATTTCAATATTACACGATATCTAAATAGGAAATTTTAAGGGCCCACTATAATATCCAATAGTACTCTATATAAGGTAAAGTTAAAGAAATGTATACAAAGCAACAAAATGAAAATGATCAAATAACACAAACATTGGCAACTAATTACAGAATGAAATAAAGAAATTTCTCAAAAAGTAAATAACATTTTACAGTACATTATAAAAATTGCAATCATTCAATATAACACAATTATACAGACTTTCATAAAATCAGCCAAAGGTAACTTCAATGACCTTATCCATCATAATATTGAAATGTATATGAACATTACACTGATGACTTTTGCAATATGAACATGATTTCTATGGGATATACAAAGGGGTGCTGAAAATTTCCTATGAACCGATTTCTAGAAAGTCTTAGCGATCATGCAGAGCACTCATTCACTCTTGATGCAGTGAGCTGCAAAAGGACAACAAATTCTATCTTTTAAAACAAAAATGGCGTAGGACCATTCAGGTTTCTCAAAAGATCACAAAAATCTTTCAAGAAATCTATCACCTATTGAAATGTGTGTAAATGAAAATGGCAAAAATTATTATAATAATCTGAACATGATTTCTTCGGGCAATACAAAAGATAATTAATCTTGCTCATTATTTATTTCTTGAAAGTCTTTCTGATTGTATCATCAATACATTAGGTGCTTGCTTCCCCAATTCCTTGCGTGTAATAATTCGTTCCTGTTTACACGAAATGCGCATGCAAATTGTATGCGATTTTCATTCACTACCGTCACTTTGTGAAAATAGGGACAAATTAATCAAAAGTCTTTTTTTTTTTTAAAGTTGGATATACTTCTTTAATCCAATTTTGAATTACAAAGGAAAAAATGGTTTCATAGATATTCTTGTCAAAGTGGCATGAAAGATTTTGAAAATATTTTTTTGTTAATGGCCATACTGTATCTCAATGGGGATACTACAAGAGCTAACTAGAAGGGCGCCATCAAGAGCCCAATATTGATTTCATTAATACAGATTGCTTACACAGGTACTCAAGTAGAAAGTTTTTTTAGGCATATAATATTTTTTTAAAGTAAACCTAAAAGTAAAGGGAATATAACACCATGCAAGCCTACAATAAGGTCATGGTTCAATATTGTTCCCTCTAATATTGTGCCCTTTATAAAACAAAACAAAAGAATACACTACCCAAAAAATAACTAGCAATATATGATGTCAAATCTTTTACACATACATGTACATATAAGGTCAATAGAATATATATTTCCTTTACCATTTACCTTTTTTCGATCATTAAATATCTCATTTCGTTTTGAGTAAATAGTACAACACACAGAGAGTACTGGTATGAGAATCAATTACAAATTACAAAACCACAGAAAAGCAAAGAAAAAAAAACACAATTTATAACCCCTTTGGCGCTCTTTAAGAATTGCTTACATACCATTTTCCATAAACAAACACACCCACACACACACACGCACTCACAAAATACTGACATATATGTAATTTTCTTGAAAAAATATGTGCCCTTGCAGTTCGATAGCGCCGTTCACATAAAGCATTACTGGTACTTTCCTCTGGACGACATTGATCCTTATGGATGGAATGTGTTTGACAAGGGGGGTGTGAACGCCAATGACCTCATTTTAATTAGGGTAATCCGTTTGCATGCCATGACCCAAAACACATTTAGCTTATATTCACATATAGGATGGTTGCCCTACATAGCAGTGACTACAAAGTATGAACATCGCATGATAGTTATCTGTATTAACACAACATTGTGCAGTCAAACCTAAATATGGTGGGGCAGTTCCTCCTCGTATCAAACTCCCTCAAATAGATTTATCCTTCATGATAAGAAATGTTTTCTCACCATAGATATTCCTACATTCATTCTTTACTAAGCACAATAACAAAATTATTGTAATATTCACGTTGAAGTGTGAAGAAATGAAACAAGAAGAAAAATATCAAAATTCAACAAGTATATGTGAAAGACTATATTCCATTGTTCTTGTGGGTACCTAATTATTTTTAATCTCATAAGCACCTGATAATACTTGACTGCATTATTTTCTTTTACATTATTTCAAAAAATAAAGCCACGCAAAAATGTTTCATTTTTGAAAAGGAAAAGAGCATTTAACAAAAAATGTAATGACACAGTCCTAACCTAATTGTTATAGCACTAAGCTTTACTACATGGTGGGGGTTCTTTACATTAGCACCTGCCACTTTATAGGATGCCTAGAGTTATTATTATTATCATTATTATTTAGAATTATTTTACATGGGTTCATATTCACGGCATAGCGAATTAAGGAATGCGGGCTCAGCCCCAAACCCACCCGCCCTGTACCTTCTGCCCCCTGCCTATATAAACCCAAGCAGTGAGATTTGCCTATCCCCCAATGTATATGTACGATTAATTTGCGTAGGGGCCCTTCCATAATCACAGAACTTCCAATCAAGAAAATGTTATTTGTTACAAAATTTTTACACGAATGATGTGTGAAATATTTCTCAGCAACTTTTACAATTAAATTACAAAAACCATATATCTGAAAGCTAGCAGTAGGTTATAACTATATAAAACATATGTGGTTTAATACACTATTCTCTGTACTTTTAATTTATCTAAGCTCTACTGATTTTTGCCTAATATTTTATGAATTATAGATTTGTACTACAAGGCACACCATGTTAAATTTACGATAACACATTCAGCGCAAACCAGTTTGCCCATTTTCTCTAAGATTTCTACATTTTCTTAGGGACGATATTCCTTCTTAGATTTGTGCCATTAAAGTGTACCATGGACAGCTAGAATGTATAAAACTACCCCCAATTTTTTTCTTCTTGGCTTCAATAGGCTAACGGACAAAGAGTAAAAAAAAACGCATAAGAGAACTCAAATCAGCACACTATGAAACAGGAACATACATGTATAACTTAACCAGTAATTATTATCAATTAGATGTTACCTGATTCAATTTCATAACAAAATTTACTCTGTAACTTTGGTGATAGTTTGGTGATAGTTCACTACAAAAGTTGACATATTGAGGTTTCTACATGAAAATTGTGAGTTCTACAAATATGAGGTATTTGATGTATCATTGACGTTCTCTACTTCAAACAGGCGGGATAATCAGGATTTATTTGTGTTAAACTCATTGGCAACGATTTCATTTGCATAAAGCATGCACATATTAAGACATGTTCACAGATGATGCGATAATCTGCTTCAAATTAACTGGCAGGGGAAATAAAATGCTACAAACCTAGCCCACTTCACTTTTCTATACAGATACACACAGATAAGAGAATAGACTTTCACTTTTCACTTCACGTGCCAATCACATCATTCTTTATAGCATTAGCATTTTACAGCAGTTTTACCACACAAAATGTCAACAAGATTTAATCCCAAGTTACAGAATATCTTGAGCTTATTATTAAAGAGTAAAGTACCATAAGCAAAGGAAGAGATATATAATCTTACAAGGCTAATGTTCGAACAAAAAAAGAGATCGAAGTGTATCTTGACCTTACTATATTCAACACTTACTTTAAGAGAGTAAAGTACCTTCAGTAAAAGAAGAGATACAATATAACAAGGCTTAAGTTTAACATGGAATCATAATTTATCCTCTTTAAAAGGGATACTGCAGTACTTGATTTTACTTCAAGGCTTTCTTACATAAACCTGTATCTCGGCACTATATGAATAGTGTCTCAATACACAGTTTCAAGTACAGGTTGTAATATAGTTGCATGGGTATAATTATATCAGATTTGAACAAGGTTAAGCCTGAGGATGTGTATGAGATGTGGGTTGGTGTAGGGGACTTTCAGTGGTATGCTCAGCTTTCTGTCTTCACCAACACTTCCACTCGGAGGGAACCAAATTTGAAGCTGAGTTGCCGCTTTCAGATCGTGACCTCAAAGTTCGGTCCCTGGGGACGTAAATAATCTGATTTGAAACAAACCTGTTGGTCGGTAAAAACCCAAAGTCATCAATTTACCACACACAGGGTCAATCAGCATATTTTTTAACAGTATATGCCAATATGTTTCTCAATGATTATGTAAATAATCTGATTTGAAACATATATGTTGGTCTGTAAAAACCCAAAGTCATACCTTTACCACACACAGGGTCAATTAGTAAATTTTTAAACATTATATGCCAATATATTTCTCAAGAGCTCTCCCATCTATCTAATCTAGACCAATCTACAGCTAAGTGAGATGAGTAAACACTCTGTATTTCACTGCACCTTATTGTAGCCTAAAGCTTTCAACCGCTAAATTGGGATGCCCATTCTAGGTGCAGCAAATACATTTTAAGCTCATTGCAAAATTCCCTTTCACCACTGACACAATAATTATGTTACCTCATTTAATGAAGGCAACTTAACCAGCTTTTGCTACAAAAAAGTAGTTTCCTTTAAACAAAAACATATGCAAACTCAGATAAGACATTTTCCTTTTTCTTTTTTACAACCTAAGACAGACAAAGGCATATTCTCCATAAAATCAATAAACATAGATGAAACAAGCAAACAAAAAACAACAAAACGGTGTCACACGTACATAGTGTATATGTTTTATAATTTTGTACATAATGTCCTAATAAAAAATATAAGGGGTACATTAACATATGTGTTTTGAACTTTCGTCATCCAATTTCCTCTAGTTTTGTAAAGTGTTGCAGATTGATTTTGCTTACAGTAGAAACACGACTATATGAACTAAAACTAAAACACTTCAGATTGGCTATGGCTACAATAACAAAAAATGAAAACAAAAGTTAGCAGTGTCTAAAGCTCTCTTCATTAAAGCATAAAGAACTGTCTTCAACCTGTAAATCAAATCCACTACTATCAACAAATAAATCATTCAAAGAATAGTCTCTTACACCTTAAAGGTAATACAAAGTTTTGGGAAATTTTGAAAATTGGCTGGATAGTGATTCTTTACAATTTTGATATATTAGGATGCCCCTGTAGATGTATTATAAGCACTAGAAAATTTAGCCCCTAAAACAATTCTGCTTTCAAGTAAAATTGAATATAAAAATTTACCGGTGCTCCTGGTAAATTTTGAAAAATTTCAAATAGCGCTTACACCCATACAACTGTAGCTGCGACCATGAAAATCTCAGAATATGTAGTTGTGAAATATAATTTTCAAACGGAAATAGCCAATCAGTCGATTTTAGTTAAGAAACATTGTTTTATGGCTTAATTAATATATTGACCTGGAGAGGGAGCTAACAGCATAAAGAGTTTATTATTTACAGTTTCACAACTTTAGACTCAATTTCAACTGCGACAACGATCACTGAATATTGTAGGATTGCATATGCTTCCAATATGTTCATTTGAACCAAATTCATGACCCTATACCAAAACTTTGTATTACCTTTAAACAACGAACAACACAAATCTCACGCGAAGTCATAATTAAATTGGCTAACCTAACGAAAGAACCTAGTAACATAAATTAAACATAAAAATAAGATGAAATCCTTTAACTTTTTTTTCAAATTTTAAAAATCACATTTATGATTGCTGCTGCATAGGTACATTAAGTGGTAATCATTTGGATCATCACTTTTCCTCTTTCAAAATCACACACACGACTATACATAAAATCCTATAATATGGAATCCGCAAACGAGCCCTCCATGATGTGTACTAGACTTTCATTTCCTGCTATGGTGATGGTGATTTCATACATCCAGTTCAGTCGACTCTCAATAAAATCACCCTCTGTATTTCTAATTGGTGTCTTTCCAACAAGGCAATTGGTACAACTCATTCCATCATCATCCCCCCCCCCCCTTCAATGAAAAAAGGATGGGAATTCTATTGGAGTACTTTTTACAGGTCATCATCCTAGGTAAAATGTTAATAATGCAGACAAAAATACATTCCCACTTCTAGTGACTTTGACTGTATCAATACGTTTGTCCAATATTGAATAATTACTCCTGTTTTCAATCGACGGATCATTCTACGGACGTCAAAGATGATGATTGCTTTGGCGTTAATTGACTTTTCCATTCCTTATTTTGAATGGAGAGAAGAGAAGAGGAGGAGGGAAAAGAGATGGTTAATATTTGATTTTGACTTCAGACTCGGTGGGCACACTCCAATGGTCCAATTAAGATGGCCTGTGTTTGCTTTGCTGCTCTTTATAAACCCATCTTGGTATCTCGCACAGGGATGCTTGTCATCGGGCGTGATAGCTCGATGCAGTGCTTGCTGTCTTAAAGAGAAAGTTGAGTTCCGGCCATGTGATTGCATTGTGAAGGAAACGGTGTGGAATCGATCAGAAAAGGTTGATCATCTGTCATATACAAGTATGCGTGTGTATTGCACGGTTCTAGAATCATCAAAATGATAAGAAATTTGGCCAAATCTTGGTAAAGTTACAAGCACTGTACACAGAAGGATGTATATGGGACTACACGAACACGTGGCGTAAAAATCCGTCCTGATTTTTACGATGTTACATGACATATTTAGAATATGAAGGCATTTGAAGAGTCATGCTTTTCAGAGAACATGTTTTATCTGATGTTCTTCCACCCTTGCATAATAACAATGATAACAATCACAAATAATTTTTCACCTCTTCCCAGAACTCAACCTTCTCTTTAAGATTCTGTTGCTTGTTTCTTGAGTGTCAATGCCATCCTTTATGTCTTTGCTGAATCATGAAATAGTACAAATAACAGACTATTAATAGAATGGAGTTGCTCATTTGCAATGTTTGACATTCATGATGCATGATGCAAGTTGACAAGTTTGCTTGACACATCATCTAGTGTGATAGTGCTGATGCAGTGCTCGTTGTCTTAGATTCTGTCACTTGCTCTACTTCTGGTCCGTTTCATTAGTTTCATCAATGACAGCTGCGACAATTCTAAAACATATTCAACCAATGGCCAATGAAATGCAATGATTCCAGAAGATGACATAAATCATTATATCTTCTATATTGATAACAGGTTACCGGTAGATGAAGCAGGGCCCTTAAGAGATGAAGATACCATCGATGCCATCTTTGCTGAATCAAACAGAGATACTTAACTGCATATGTTGCAGATTTTCATTGCTTCTTCACCACCATTCTCTAAGATTCAGTTTCCCAATCTCCAAGTATTGGTATTCAGATGATAAAGCAAGAGGATGATGATAGTGGCGATGGAACGATGTTGCTCATGACAAACAACGTTGGAAAACATAACATTGGTATGTCACTGATGTTGGCAATGATCAAAATTGATAATGATGATGATGAAAATAGGCCGAAAAGTAATCAAACATGGTTGTGAAGACAATGATCATTAAAATATTGAAGAGCTAAAGACGGTAATGAAATTGGCATAAAAAAACCATGGACAGTGATAGATAATCGAACCATTCAGAGAGCTGACATAACCAGTGATTAAAGCTAACATTTCAAGACTCTCCCTTCATTTCATTTACCATCTGATGTAGTAACTAAGCTTCAGTAATCTACGCAATAGATTTTTTAGTTACTCCCTCTTACTTTCCTCAAATCTATCCTGAGAAAGAAAGAAAAAAAAAACCCATCTCCTCGAGATTTGGGTGGGCGGATTTTATCGATAGGAATCACATTAACCTATGGACCACTGTGTTCTCTTATTTCCATAGGCTTAGTACAAACATCACTTGGTTTCTGTAGTCATTGGAGTAATCAGACATTAGATTGTTCCTCGAAGGCAAGAGAGTTCGTTCAACTCATTCCAGGAGCTGAAAGTGGGCCTGGCTACCGTCCCGATGTCATGGAGATGTCAATCAAGTCCCACTGTTGCCCTGACGACCCGTTGCATTTGGCTACGGTAGGCGTGTCCTTGCCACCACTTGCTTTCTCTAAACACAGACCACTGGGACTGTGGACAAAAGTTTTGGCCTGTGAGAAAAAAAGAAGATGAAAAGTTTGTCAACAAACTTCTTACAACTTTATCATAAAAAGAACCACAAATATGGGTGCATACCTGCTTACCTTCAACAATAAAAAGCATGTAATGTAATGGATTTTTTTCCACACATTTTGAGAGAAGTTTGGAATTATCCCTTTAAGTGATGTTCAGCAGCTATAAAATGAATGCATATGCAGTTACTGCATTTAATACAGTACCCAACAAATTTGATTACATGTACATCCTTTTAAAAAATCACTGAAATATTCTAACTCCTTTAGTACATATCAATAAATTATCACAGAATGCCAACTCCATTGCCAACTCTGTTACTGCTTTAAGACTTGCAATTTTTGCATAACTTTGTAAAAGTTGAAATATTTAATTTGTTGTTACGGGTGTACTTGCTTGTGTTGTATATTGCATGAGTTTGCAGCAAATTTGAAAAATAATCAAAAAGGGAAGTAGATTTTGGAATAAACCATACCCATTCCATTAATGCCTACTACAGCACACTATGTTAATCCCAGATATTCAATTCCATTTTCTACATTTTTCATGAACCCTGAGCAAAAAAGGATTTGCATGTGACATTCATTTCTAATGAATGTTCCTATGTAAGCACAATACTCTGTACATGAAATCAATCATGAGTTGAGATGCAGTTCAACACCCATATGCCTACAGTACGTATGGATTTCATCTTAGGAAAGAAAAAGGGAGAATCCCTATATTTGCTTCTTGGAAACAGAAAACGCACAAGATGTACAGCCCATACTTGTAATAATTTTATTTCTCCATTTTCAGATTGTATTAAGATCATTATATGCTGAAGTTTTTATCTTTTTTTGAAGGAAAAAAAAATCAGTTAATGGATGATTTCTTGTGTGGCTGATGCCTCTTAGGACTGGACTAATGTAATTGGACTTTTCATTGCTATATAAACTGGTTGTTTATCCCTGTTGAATGCCTGTCTAAGAAATTGACTACGTTTTACCTGACATAAAATTACAATTTTGCACTGGCATTTATATCAAACATTTTGCTACTCATCAGTTTCTAATAATAAACAACTTACATCTTCTTTGTAAAGCCACTCCTGGTTGCCATGTTTTCCATGGCATTTAATCATCACAACGTCTTTATAATGAGAGTTAGCCGAGGCATCTAGACATAGATCATCGTGCTTGATCTCATTCTGTTTAGTAAGGGCAAATATCTGGAGAGAAACATTGGGAAAGACAAAGAAAAATCATGGTTATATATACATCTACATCTTTTACTTTTTTCCCCCTTTTATATGCCCCACCCTCTTCACAATAGCTCAAAACAGTGGGTATTGTTATTAGTGTAAACGGAGGGGTAGAATGGTGATGTTATTGTATAGCTGTGTGATAACCCTGAATCCTTATTCAACCTTTTTTGGGGTTGATGTAGAGAAAATTCAAAGTTCTGGGAATGGTAATATCAGTAGAGGTCCTTATCAAAATAATTGAATGAAAGTACATTATCTTGACATTCATGTTTCATAAAGCTGGTCAAGGGCAAAGTTCTGCTCATAAAAAAGATTACAAATTCAAATTCAAAGTCAAAGTCAAAATTGTGTAAGTTCAGCTAATGTGAAAGTTTTAGCAGTGATGTTACAGCTAGCTGTACAAGGTCAATGTCCCATGGGAAACATGCAACAATGTAACTCAAAATTGACATTACTGCTAGTCACAGTCAAACTCCAGCATATTGTAAACATACTTTGCAAACTAGCCTATGAGTAATTTTTAAAATCCATACATGATTTTACTCTTATTTAATTTCTCAGAACTTTGTAAAGTCACCAGGAAATAGTAGAAATGATGCATTAAGAAAAATAAGGAATTTCGGAGAAGACATGCAGACAACCAAGCCAGAAAATGCTAAAGTTTCAAAGATGGTCGATGCACTGTTGATGTTACATGCACTTTACAGTGTACATCTATGTAGCAGATTTATCATTTCATGTATCTCTTCCCTATGTGGAAAAACACTTTTCCAGGATTCACTTGCACGTTGCACTAGTGTTGAAAGATGCATCACTTAAACAGCTACAATTGCTGGCATATTTATGGATTACTAATACGATGACAGATGTAACAAAATTGATCATCCATACACTGTATCTCTTCCAAGATTTACTTAAACATCTGTGAGCATAAGAATACTGACAGCCCGTCACCAGTGCCCCGTTTCATACTATTTTACATGTATCATAGCTAAACAAGATATTATAATGCTGATATTCCATTGTACTGCATTCCAGTAGATAATGGCATAATGCAAGAATAGTTTCAATGAGAAAAGTTTAATTTTCTCTTTTTTTTTAATTTAAAAACAAAATTCACGTAAATCTTTTTTTCTATGGGATCAAACTGCAAGATCCGAAGTAATAATTATTGCACATCAGTGACAGGTAGATGTAAAAACTACAATTATCTGCCCGATGACATTTAATTTTTTTTTTATAATTATCCCCAGATAATTTTTGAAGTTTTCATGCTACGTGCCCACTAATTTACAGAAATTGCCTCTTTAAAATGAGAGTAAATTAGTCATGCATGCTACCATATACATTTCACCTGAATATATGCCCATTTTTTTTCATCACATTCAGTTCCTGTACTATTTCATTACATCATCGATTCAGAGCAAGAAGGGCATTACCTCTCTGTTTCATAATAGGAGTTATTGCCCTTCTGGCTCCAAACATACCTCATGCAGTTCTTTCTATGCAACTAAACATGCGCTATCATTCATTTCAGAAGAGGCTTTCGTTGCAGGTATATTTGTTTACCGCTGTATTATAGAAGCGTATTAGCTCCATGGGTACTGTAACTGGCTGCAGGCAAATATAAACAACATGAGTACAAAGCATATCAACTGTAATACACAAAAGTACATCAAAGAAACACAATGAGACATAATCATACAAAACTACTAGATACATGAGCATTCAGATACTAGCATGGTTATTGGCAAGAAAAGCCTCATTCAAATATGAAGACGTAAGTGTAATGCGCATTTGTGTCTAATAACTCAGAGCTCAGTGAATAAGCCTGGACCATTGTTACGCACAAATGGAATCCATTTATACGTTGTAAAAATTTGCCAAGATATCTGAACGAGCCTCAACTTTGTCGGGTAATCTAAAAAAATATGAGAAATCATATATGAATTACATATGTCCTAATGTTTGTAGTTTTCAAAGACAAGGATAGTTACTGAAACGTCAGGTAAATCTGGTTTTACAAGACTACCATTTAGATTTGACATACTGCCCCTAAATCAATGTGTGTTCATTATTAGTTTACAAGTGCTTTTAAAACCCTTTGAATTAAAGATTGAGAGTTCAGAAGTTAACGGTTTGGGGCTGGGAAACATCTGTCGGGTGGGGACATAAAATGAAGGTCCTAGACACAAACAAAATACAATAACTGTACCCATAAAAATCAAGGAACAGACAGTATCCCTCCTCATAAAATGACAGAAAGGGATCCAACATCTTTTTTTTTCAGGCAGGAAGATAATCGGACCTGACTTTAATATCTTAACCATGCACTCCATGTCTTTCTGGGTGAGAGCTACGAGCAAAGAGATTGTACCTGGAAACAAGACCACAAAATTGAAATTGCTCTGATTTATCCCAGTTTTGTGTTTTTTTGTATTTTTCCTGGCCCACCCACAAGAATATCATATCATCATAAGAGAATGATCACTTCATTTAGTTACATTCTGGGGTTTTTTGTAGCGAAGGGACAAGGAGACAATGTACAGAAGTAATAATCTACCATTGTTGACAATTTAGACTATTTAAAGGGTGTATCTCACTGAGAAGTGAATGCTTGCTAACGTAGCAAATTTGGGGTTTCCCCAGAGTTCGTAAAAGGTTGCATGAAAGTTCGCAAACAGTTTCATTGTCGCAAAGAAATTTTTAACATGTTGACAATTTCTTTGCGAATTTTCCACAAACAGTTGCAAGCGTTTGCAAAATAGTCGTAAGCCTTTGCAAATTGTTGTAAGACGGTGTTGCTGTAAGTTCTTTTTGATTCGCCAATGCTAGCAACCACGTGACCATATGGTTCCTATATAATATCGACCCATTGAGTACCAGGAGTTAGCAAAAGGTCCCAAACATTCACAAACAGAGGCAAAGGATTGGTAAATAAGTGCTAATCTTTGCAAAAACTGTCGCTAACATTTGCCCACAGTGGCTAATAGTCGCCAACTGCCTTTCGCAAACATTCGCTCAAATGTTCCTAATTGTCACTAAATGTCGCCGAGACTAACCATGATTTTCACCAACATTCATCAAAAAAATTGGCAAATCCAAATTCACAACGTTCGTAAGCATTCGCCGCTCAGTAAGATACACCCTTTTTATGGTTTGTGTATAATGTAGATGTAGCCAAAGAATTTTGATTCTTCTTCTGAATGAAGGTTTCAAGATGTGTGCATCTGCTAGCCGTCCTTCTGCTGGGCACAGGACATTTTGGTTAAATCCTCCAGTCTATTAGTCTCATAATGAAAGGATTAAACAAAAGACATATCTAGAAGTGATATCCTACATGTGTGATTGTTAATATGCATTAAGTAAGGACTAAAATCTAAAGTGAAATAGAGTCAAAGAAAAGTCTAAACTTGAAACTGCATATTCTCAGAAAATGTACACCTGCTGGGTGTGTATCCCTTAGCAACCTTCTGTTACTAACCTGGTTGCCGCCTTGGCCGTGGCAAGAAAAGATGCCCACTTTCTCGTTCTCCTTCCTCCCCATATTATCTAGGCACTTGTGAGTCTCTATATTACGAATCTGCAGAGGAGAAAAGATGAAAAGGATGAGAAATATTACAAAAAGTGATATCATATTGAACATGTAACCAATGTCAGTATAATTAGCTACATTATCAATCTGCACAGGAATAAAGATGAGGGGGAGGAGAATTATAGCATCACAAAAAATTTGTTCGCACAGTATGAATCTATTGCCTTTCTTGTGGAACCTTGAAAAGTCTTGGGATTTATGTCAAGAATGCGACCGATACACAAAGAGCCGTATAACTACATCTCTTCCGGTCTTGATTTACACTCTTCAGCATCTTAAATAGCTTTAAATTGGCAACACTTTACACCAAACCTGGCTGCTGCTGCTGCTGCCAGAGAAGCTCAGTTACCTATTACCATTATCTTAACTAGACTATTCTCCTTCATTGAGAGATTGACATTCTCGATTACGTTTCTTTGTGTTCTGATGGAACGCCGATCTTGAAATAAGATCATTACCGCAAGCTACTTCAAAGGTCCTGTTCATACTTGAACCAGAAATGCCTTTATTTACGATTTGATTGTCGTGTTGACCATTGCCTACCCTAAAGCCTCATTCACATAAGTAGTAAACTGCCTAAAATCCTGAATTACCCATCTTTTCGATGTTTTCCATTTCAAATTTGTTTTTAATTGTCAAGTTAGTTTTTGTAGTGTTTAGTTTCTAGTTTGTAGTTTATTTTTATTTTTTTATAACCGTTTTACACAATAAGTGCACGTCTGGCTCTAAACTCTCTCCTATGCCTACCACATACCTGGACCCTATGAGCTTCAAAAAACCACATCTATGTTACTCCAGGAAACGCCCCCCCCCCTCCCTTTACCCCTCTGCCCTCCTGACTCTATATCCAAATATATACAAGTTGTGCGTATTTTACAACCCTACCTCTCTCTCTCTCTCTCTCTCTCTCTCTTTTGTGACTCGGTAACAAAATTTTGAAGGTTGATGAAAAAAACTGTAATTTTTTAATGAAATGTTACTCTTTATATTCCTTCTACTGTACTCACCCTCTAACATGCAAAAATTTTCGGGAAAAATTATCAAACCACAAAGATATTTATGGTTTTATTTGAAGGCGTCACTGTGCGACACCCTCTAACAGTAAATTCTCCCAACCATTTTTGAATTTTCCCAAATATTTTCCATGAAAATAAGACATAAAGCAGCCTTTAAAAAATCTTTCAACACTTAAATGTCTGGAATGGTATATAGAGCCAATTCATTGCTTTGAGACAATTTTCATTCACCTAAAATGTAATTAATAAATTGTAATAATACAGTTGGGAAAATCAAGTAATCGATCAGGTCATTTTCCCCAATTTGTATCATTAACAATGGTCCGTTTTCACCCAAACTGTCAGATTATCTTTAATTGTACATCTACCATTGAAGTCACTCCCTTAGCCACATTTTTTCTCATCTGAACAATGTTACCAAGTCCCTTTAAACCATCCACTACCCCATAAAACCGTCCGTATATACGAACCCCCAGCAATCATCAAGTGCCTCACACAGACACTAACCTCAGTGACATCTCGCACCGGAGCAATGAAACACTATCCCCACTCAAGCAGTCACAGACCAATTCTACCTACTTCCTTTATGCGCTGAAGCTCTAGGGTACTTCAAAAACCCATGTTGACGTTTAATAGACCTCGAGGTACATGTGTACATGGTGCTTTAGTGAAGGTCAAGTTGTTAAAATGTTGTAAAGCACATGTGTTTTCAATCCTTTTTAAAAACAAATCTAAATCATGAAAAGAATATATAGACAAAATGAATTTTAAAATATGGATATGATAGGGGGAAAATACAAATGTAAAAACTTAAGGAGAAAACAAGATAATGAGGGGACTAAAAACAGCACCGCCAGCAACACAGAGAGTGGGGGGGGGGGGGAGGAGGGAGAGAGAGAGCCAGATGAGAAAACAGGCAAGAAACATAAAAACAAGAAAACCTACACAAAAACCTTGTTGACGTTTATAGGCCTAGAAGTACAGTGTACATGGTGATTTTGTCTGTTTTATGGTGTCACATGTATTTTCAATTCTTGTTAAAAACAAATCTACGGAATATGTAGACAAAATGAAATTTGAAAATATGGAGATGATGGGGAAAGAGATAAATTCTAGATTAAAAAAAAAAAGCAGTTTGTTTTGCTCATGGTGTTCAGACCATTTTAATGTATTTCAACACATTCTCTTGTTTGAATCTAAATATGGTTTTATGAACACATAAGCATATGATGGGAAAGAAATGTAAATTTTAGAAATAGAAAGGACCAACAAAAAAGAGGGGAGGGGGAGAAACAAGGAATTAATGCTGTTTGGTTTAAAGAGATGTATAAATGAATGATATGGTTATTCTACTCACTCTGCACACAAATACATACCTCTCCTATAGTTTTAAAGTCCAATCTGAACTGGGACTCTGGATATATATTTTCTAGGTACCACTCAAACGTGTGACACTTTAATCTATCTCGGAGCTTTTTCCTTTGGCTAACGTCACCAAATTCTGTTTTCCTCACACCTGGAAGAAAAAGAAGAGAAAAACCAAATAAACTTTGTCAGATTTCAATTCAATTCAATTCAATTCAAAGCTAAGCCAAACAAACACATGGCAAGTAAAATCAGAGTTGATTAGACCGAATAAACTAATAAAGATTAAGAAATGCACATATCATCTAATAATACATTTATCCCCTCATCAGTGTATATCTATATATAGATTAAGATGTACTAAAACAGTTAGTGGAAATGGAAAGTTCCAGGGGAAATACTAAACCCTCATAATATGTAGTGGAACAAAATGTACACATGTGGCTTTCCATACATCAAATCAGGCTGTGCACAAGACCCTGCCTGTGCATGTGTAGATTTGTCAGTTTCTCTGCGTATCAGTGTCTGCACTATGAGACTACATATGGCTCTGTACTATATAGGAATTGTGGTGAGATGTCAAATAAGAGACTGTGCTTGTAGACTAGTGCATGTTGGCCAGGCAACAATAGGCCTGTCTTCACTAGCTCGAGATTGCCAAATATCCCGCTATTTGAACTATTCCGATCGCAAACTATCCAGCTAATTTGCGTATTCATCAGCCCAAAGTTGCAATTAGCGGGATATTTGGTCGGCATTGTCATCCCAAGATATCTTGGGATAGTTTGCAAAATATCCAGCTATTTGTCTGGTGCGCCTTCACCAGACCGAAGACTCGCACTATGCGCGAACGCTGAGCAAAATATTTTGAGCTAATTTCTCAAAGTCGAGTTTCAAGTTTCGAGGTGGAATCTCGAGCTGATGAAGATGCGATTTGTAACTTCGGGATTAGTTCCCAAATCAGAAATAGCAGGCTATTTGGCAATCTCGAGATGATGAGGATGCGCCTAATGTGAACAATTGCCTTCAATGGTACATTTCATCCCTGTAATACTTGCTCAGTCCATGATTCAGTTTGCAATTGCCTGAGCATATAGACAGGCATGTCACTACCTTGGTAACATGTCTTCAATACTAATCATCAAATTTCACCCTTGTACTGACGTGATCTACATTTCAAATATAACTCTGTCTGGAGTTGGTTATTTCATGCGAAGCGTCCTTAAAGATACTCTCTCTTTTTTTAATTAGTATAAAAATATATAATGGGATGAATGTCATAGATTACGGAAGAAATTGCAGTTTAAGAATAAACATGTAGGAATTGAAAAATGAATTTCACACAGAATAAACAACAAACAACCCTTAGATTAAAAAAAGTTCAGCTGGGTTGTTGAATACGTTCTACCGAGAGTGCCACATGTGACGCTTGTAATATGTCACAAATCAACAATTATTTTCATGTCTTGATATTTTTTTAATGGGGAAGGGTTCCATGTTATTAATATTTGCTGATTTACCAACCTTACCAAATCATTTCAAAATCATCGATAAGACTTTATTTAGAAAGAAAAAAACTACTATATTAATTAGATTTGTAGATGTAAAGCTTTAAACTAGTACTAGTTCCAATAAGAATACAATGATATTTGAAATCAAGGACATTCTCATTCATGTGGCATTGCTACTATGATATCGCTCATTAGAGCCATAAGGGCATTAATTCATATAATTTATTACAGAGTTAGCTCCCTTCTGGCTCTGAAAAGAGGATACTCTTCCACTACTAAAGGAATATTAAAGACAGAGCTTGAAAACATTTTTACCAAACACTAGGAACTCAACCTTGCCTTTACACCCTAATGCACACAAAACCCATGCACATAGGATACATCTCCTTGCACTACCAGTACATGCCTGAACTCGGCACACTTGCTTTCCCTTCAAAATCTATTTAGAGTTGACAGATGATGAGTACATATTTACACACTTGAACATGTAGATTCAACGGGACGCTCTTAGGGTGCGCGACTGTTCCAACTCTTGAAGCTTGGATTGTCTTAGATTAATTTGTGAGTTATAGTCAAAAGCCCTTGAGAAAAACATGAAATTGAATGAGAATATGTCAATTTAAACAGGAGAAATAAAGTTGATTGTTAAATGTCACTTAAACTGTTTTCACACTAGAAAAATTGTGCTTAACCCCGTACTATACATGTAGGTGAGGTTAAGGGGGGGTTTTAGCCCCACCTATATTCTGGGGTTAAGCTTATTCCACTTTCTGTTCAGACTCGTATTTATCAAAGTGGGCTAGCCCCACCTATAGTAAGGGGTTAGCTGGCCCTGCAAAATAGCAGGGCTAACCCGGCAATTGTGGTGCTAACTCCTGATAACTCCTGATAACTCCGCAATTGCAGTGCCAAGCAAATGAATGAGAATTAACAGAAACGAAAAATAGTCCAGTACTATGCAATGGAGCGTATCGCAGCTGGTCAGATGCGAAGTAAGGAGCCCACTGTCCAATGGTCCAATTATATAGTCCGGGGCTAATGAATTGCAGTGAGAACAGCATGAATTTTCTTATTCCGGAAGAGGCGCTAGTCCGGGACTAAAAAACAGCATGTGTGAAAAGCCAAAAAGTCTGGGGTTAAGGATAGTACGGGGCTAAGCAAAGTACGGTGTTAAGCAAAACCAGTGTGAAAAGAGTATTAGAGGCATGCCCCTCCCCTGACACGAACCATCATATGTGAAGTGGAAATCACATTTAATGCAGTAAAATCAATAATGACATACAATTAACAACTAAATTATTCATACTCTTACCAAGTTTTGTAATTTTAAAAGTATGTGAAAAATTGATTTGTCCTAATTTGTGTTTCTTTAGAATGTGACATCTATAAATATTTTTCAAAGGCCTTTTAACCAGACCACCTTTCATTCTTTAGTTACTAAAAGACACCCACAAAAATACATTTACAAGGGGTCTGAATAATTCAGTTCTAAACTGGGCTGTACAAGGTGCTGTTCCTGATGCAGGCTATACCGTACTATGACAACTACATGTACCCTGGGTATTTCATCCCAAAACACACCTCTCCCTAACAACTTTACCCCATCAAGGACAATTAAACAAGTCTACATCTAGACTATAGATAAAGTGCCTTGAACATAACCATGAATGTAATAAATGATATAAAGCAGTTGAAAGTCAAAACACACTATTCTTCACAGCACAAACAAGAACAATGCCACTCTCAACATACACATCTCGTTTACATTTGATCACAAAGTTTCAAGAGCGGTCGTTAATTCATTGGACTTCAACAAATGATGAAGCATCGGTCGAAGTTGGAACACATCTTTCTTCTTCACAGCACAAACAAGGACATACACATCTCATTTCCAATCGATTTTGAAACCCAATGCCCAAGCTGTTCAAGAGTGCCCTGGTTGTTCGTTCTTTGGACTTCAAAGACTAATAGTCCTTTTAGACTAAAGAAAATTGTATACAAAACTTTTATAAAGGAATGTCATGTAAGGTATCATTGAATAGCAGAAGGGGCATACAAACGTGAAAATGGGTATAACATTACATACTCATTGTGCAAAGAAACTAGTTTTTTAAGGTAGGGGTCAGTCAACATGACCACTGGTCAATCATCAATACACGCTGACAATAATCTTCGCCCAGTTTTACGATTTTCGTACAATACAACATTCAGATGAGAATGGGACCCTGATTTGTTATCGACTTTGTTCTAATCGATACTGAAACTGCTGTTACACTTTACCAATGTTTTGTTATTTGATGTTCAGACAAGAAACATTGATAATCTAAAAATTAATAATAATAATAATATGTCTTGTTTTCCCAGGGTAGCCTCATCAGTATTCATAATGTTCTCCCTTAGGGCCCTGAAATCACGTCATTACCCCGGCCTTAACCAAGCTACCATGAAAAGGTGCTCAAGCATTCAAGGAATTTCTTCCTACCTGGGTGGAGAATGGCAAATGTAGATTTATTTCTTGCGAAAGGACATGAATGCCACAGCGGGACTTGAACCGGGAACCATGTAATCCACCGTCCAGTGACGTATCCACTAGACCACAACACCTCTATCACATAGCTATTCATACGCTTTTCGTCTTGTGGCATGTATAGATGAATTTTGGTAGTCTGAATGAGCAAGGGGGGAGAGTCCGGGAGACAACCGCAAGAAAAGATCCATCAAAATAAACGAGCTGAAAAACACTTCTCAGGTATCGGCTGCAGTGAAATCAATCAAGAACCTCAGTTGAGAAACAGATTCAAGGGTCCTTTTGGACTGTACTGGGAAAATAAACAAGGTTGGATGTTCCATTGAAGTGGTATGCTAAATAAAGCATTCATTTCAAGGCTTACACGTCCCTTGTCCCTTTGTATTATTGTAAAAATGTAATATTCAAAATGACATTATTTTTTGTATAGGTTAATGCATCCTACAGACATGTTTGTTATTGTTTACTTGAAAGTCTTTCTCAATTTTTTGAAAATAAAAGCCATTAATCTTAACACTGTCCTACTTGTAGCTACTTGCTCCCTCTATATAGAAAACTTCCCAAATCGGTGCCTGTTGGTCCCCCATGATCCTATTTTTCTTATGTTAAATGAGAGCTGAGTTAATGAGATAGCCACCTGTCACAGTGACTTCGCTGGCTCGCTTGGTGGTCTAATCCCTTCTGGCTGAAGTAGTAAAGCCTGCCTTTAAAGATGCAGACCACAAAAAAGTAAAATTGTATAATGTTAAAAGTAGTCATCCCCCAAACTAATGAGATGTTAAAATGGTCAAAGGTCAAAAAAATTAAGGGGAGAGTGTACTTCAAAATAAGGTGTCCGTCGTAGTTTACTTCGATTTTGGAGGCTAAGTCAAAGTTAATTTCTGTGCAAATGAGCACAAGTGCATCTATTCCCACATTAGTTGCCTTTATTTGGAGTGAATTTCAGTATTGTAAACTTGCAATAATTTTTTTTACAGAAGCCACGTTTATTAGCAGCTGGTATTTTTAACGTTGTGTAATGGGATGGAACCCCAAAACTATGGAGCAGAATATATGTTGGTAATTGGTCCGTTATATCATACCTGCCAGCCTTTCTTAGCAAAAATTGGGTATCTCTCACAGAAAAATTAAGAATACCGGTATAGTGACTTTCTATTTTGTATAATTTATACACAGAAGTTTTCAGAAGAAGAGAGGATTCTAGGTGTCATAACAATAGCTTGGGGACCAAACATAGGAATCATTCCTCCAAAGTAGGAATGATTAACAGCTATGTTATATTCATGACTAACTTTTTGTGACTTATCTATAAGCACACAACGTGTTTGAAAGCACAATTGTGGTATGAGTTTTGAGAAGGTGTGTGAACGCGAATTTCAAGCTTTAAGGACACCATAACCGTCGACCTGAGCCGCCACCTCACCTGACCCTACTTCTATCTATTTATAGGAGAGTCAAGAGTGCAATCTTCTGTCTTCCTCCTATCTGTTTTCCACAATCAAATTGATTCGGACGATTGAAGGGGAAGGTAACACCAAAGAGCACACTTCTTAGAGCTGTCATTGCCGTCAGGCTAGCTTTCAATTCAAGTATCTGGGGTTGGGGATGGTCGAACAAGCTTCATCTTGGGCAAGGCTCTATTTATCCTCTGTCCATACTCAGAGCTCATAATGTGCTTCATGTGAAATATGCAAACACACGCTCCCTGGCTACTTTGTCCAAATAGACAGAGTCACATAATGAGCAAGATACTTCAAACTGTAGTTTAGATCAGGTGCAAGTATGAACACACCGCCCAATCGGCTTCAAGAAGAGACCTGCTGCACTCCGTCCATGCTCAGGCCTTTTAACATGCTTCATGTGAATGCAAACACATGCACCCTGGCTACTATGTCCAAATAGACCGTCATTCAGAGTCACATAAAAAGCAAGCAACTTCAAATCGGCATCTAAATCGTAGTTTAGATCAAGTACAAGTTTTAATATGTATGAACACACCGCCTAATCGGCTTCAAGTAGAGACCTACATGTGCACTCCGTCCATGCTCAAGCCTTGTAATGTACTTCATGTGAAATATACAGAGGCACGCTCCTTTGCTATTGTGGCAAAATAGGGAGCTATTTGGGCTTGTAGAGAAGCAATCTACTTCAATCTAATTTCATTTTGCGGTAATTAAGAGCTAACGGTGAGCTCTCTTGCGGTGTAGGAATTCTCAGGGTATGTGCTCCTTCTGATTTTCAATGTTCGCTGATGCCTCGTTCACATAATCCCCTCAAATAACCACCTGCACCAAAAAACAAACGAACCCTATTATGTGTCATTCAGGGCTTGACACTATCAGTGCCCATGCCCCTCTCCCCTTTTATATCCGAAACCAATTTTTTTCAAAATTTAAGCAAGCCTGGGGTCAATGCATACAGACCCTACACATGTCCACTGGATCTCCTGTGAAAATAGTTCTATGACACATGCCCTGGCAACAAATGCTCCCAGGAAAATGTTCCAACTTAAACCCTATACCTAAACATAACCTTAAATTTGACCTAAAAAGAATTGCATTTTAACCCAAACCGTATGTTTATTAGTAAAACAAAGCCCGAGGCAATATAGTCACCCGGGGAAATGTCAGATACACATTAGAAAGCGAGTGTGAGGCCCTGTGTATGTGTAACTGTGCGAAACCAAGACCCCATAGCATCGACTATGTTACAGGTACATGTAGCATCCATATGTATGTATTTGAAGATACACAAATGTGAATCCCAGTGCACTACGCCAATGTCATTTGATTTGGATAAAGTTGGTTCTCCATCTATGTGTGAATGAGGCTCAACCATGAATATATGCCTAGGCACAGACAGACAGCCAGGGTATGACAATTTTACCTTCCAGTCTAGCTGGCTTCTTACAAGCAGTGCCATTGGGAGAATAATGAGCACTGACAATTGGTCACGACATTGAATGATTTTTACACTGTGTGAAGTGCGTTACCTATCTCTTCATGACACTTTTGATAGTAGCTCTTACACCAGGAGAGGAGACGAGAGGAGACTTTCAAATTGAGAATGACATAACAGTGGAAAGTAGAAACAAACAGGGGGAGAGAAGGATGAAGAGAGAGAGAGAGGGGGGGGGGGGGGGGGGGGGGGAGAGAAACAGACTGACAGAGAGAGAGAGAGAGAGAAAATGGAAGAAAAATAAAAACACAAGGACACAAAAAGAGAGAGACGAGGCATGAAGATGAAGAATGAGAGACAGACAGACAGAGACAGTGACTGAGAGAGAGAGAGAGGAGAGAGAGAGAGAAGAAAAAAAAGAGAGAAATAAAGACACAAGGACACAGAGAGGGAGAGAGGGGAGACATGAAGATGCAGATCGAGAATGACAGAGAAAGAGTGTTTGATATGAAACATCGATGTAGGGCAAGACTGAGATTGACAGAGATACAAGAGGGTGTATGTAGTGAGAGGGGGTGGAATCAAGAAGATAGAGATACAAGAAAGACAGAGAAGGGAAGAAAAGAAGAACCAAGAAATGTCTGTGGATAGGAGAGACATGAAGAGATGAAGATTGCGAATGGAACAGACAGATAGATAGACAGATAGGGAGAGAGAAAGAGATAGACAGATAGGGAGAGAGAATGAGAGAGAGAGAGAGAGAGAGAGAGAGGGGGGGGGGGGGGAGAGAGATAATGAGTGAAAGTGAATGGGATAGGAAAATAAATGAATGACAGAAGAACTTATGCCACCAACTGATTAGAGTGATGTAAACTGCAGAGGTGGAGAAATTAAAAGTTGGCAGGAGAAAGTTTACTTTGGGAGAGGTTAGTGTAGAGAAAGAGAGAGAGAGAATGACAGACAGAGGGATAAACATATATATATATATATATAGAGAGAGAGAGAGAGAGAGAGAGAGAGAGAGAGAGAGAGTTAGACAACAAAGCTTGAGATAGAAAAGGAGTGAGATTGAGACAGAGTCGGAGATAGAGAGTAAAATGCAAACACGCAAATAGATGTGAAACCTCATCCGCCTCAAATCGCCTCCCAAACCACCACAAATGCACAATCAAATCATGCAAAGTGCCTGGTAATGATGTCTCTCGAAACAACATCCCTCGCTCTGACAAATGGACATGCAACCTTAGACGACATCACTCGTGTCAACTCCAATTGTCGAGTGACTCTAGGCCCTAAACGGCTTGCAACTGACAGCATTCACAATCCTTTCTTTTCTGGATGATTATTTTCAGGTTGAAGCCTGATTGCATATGTTTTTATAATCTGTTTTAATGACTTTAATTAAGCTTTTCTCCACTACAAAAGCTCTATTCATAAAAAGACAACATTTACATGACATTGTATTAGTAAAATTCTGTGTGTGTGACACTCAAAATGCTAACAGAAAAATAACAGTTTGTAAACTAATGACAAAGAGAAAATAATTTGTTGAGCAGTAATTTGAAAAGAAAGAAATAACATATACCCTCTGTTGAGAGCCAGCTGGGCATTAACTCTGCAGTATTTAATTGATACTCTTCTGGCTCTTAAAGACTGTCAATACTACTGGGCCAGAAGGGATTAGACCACACAGCGAGGTCACTGACAGGTGGCTATCTCATTAACTCAGCTCTCAACTAACATAAGAAAAAGAGGATCATGGGGGACCAACAGGCACTGATTGGGGAAGTTTTCTATATATAGGGAGCAAGTAGCTACAAGTAGGACAGTGGGGCTTTAACAGACTGCATCTGAAAAGTAGGATATTTACCTGGTGATATTCTGTAATAGAAATGTCTAAAATCATCCATCCAGACTTCAGCTAATCTCTGGTTATTCCGATTGATGATCCGCCCCGTCCCGCCCGGGAACGTGTATGGTGTGGACTTTCTGAAGACATGACCAACATGTGAGCAAGTGACGATCTCTAAGGTTCCTCCACACATCCATATCTAAGACAAAAAGAAAAGAAAGAATGAAAATCCTTGAATGTCTGTTCATATACGTTGTAGGAAACTGCCACTGTTTTTTTTTCTTCTTATGTGTAAAAAGTAGCTGTGCATAGCAAAGGACCTACACATAAAGGCCTGAATTCACAAAGGAGGTTTGTCGACAAACCTAGGTTTATGTGCGTCATATGACGCGTTTCAACGTTTGAAAAAACGTGTCAAAACGTGTCATATGAAGCACATAAACCTAGGTTTGTCGACAAACCACCTGTGTGAATTCGGGCCACTAAGTATGTGACTTAGAAGATACAGAAATGTGAACTTACGTTATTATGAGATTTTTTTGTTTACTAAGGTTATCTGTGTCATATGCAAATGACCCTGTAGTAAAATAAAATGACGCAAATGAGTGTGGAAAAAAAAACAACAACTAATATCAACGAGGCATTTTCACAAACACAAACACACATGTAATTCATTTTAAGTACAAGTAGTTGTCCACAAGACAAAAAATTGATACTAATATTAATATTTGGTTCTTGTATAGGACATATCACATTCTAACGCATCTATGCGCTTCCAAAGAGCTTTAGAAATGATTACCCAGGCTTTAGCATGGCTGCCATTACGGCGCTCTAGCATTTCAAGGGATTAATTCCTGTCAGGAATTGATGAGATTTTGCTTCTCATAGTGAAAACCATATATAACTGGCAAGCTGGAGTTTATTTCAGTGATTTTTTTTTGTTATAGATCTGATGTGAATGCTGCTGCACTCCATGATAAAATGAATAATTAAATAATTACGATTTTATTTTACATGAAATGCATGGTAAGCTGATTTCTGTATTAATATCTTTTAAATTGAAATTTAATGAAAATCATTCCGACATTTAAAATTAAAATTGCAATAGTTACAAATACTACAGTGGAAATTTTATATAACTCATCTATTTGTACCAATAATATATTAGCTATTTATTAAAGTCGTGCCCTCCCCTTATCCCCACCCACACCCCGTATGTCAATCATACAAACTGTTAATCACAACAAAACGTTTTGAGAGTAAATGAAGCAGCCAATAACAACGACTACAGTATCAAAAGATAAAGGATGGCAATTGTTTTTAAGGTTGAAAAAGACTTGAAATTGTAAACCTCTCTGAGCGTTTTTCAAAGCTAACATCTTGAAGAAATGTTTGAACAAACTTTTATCTCTGAGTGACTTTCCATGAAAGCACCAGGTAAAAATCCAGTATAGTGTTACATTTTCAAATAATCAGAAAAAGTAGCTTTCGGAACCACAGTCATTAATCCTTGCGTTTGGTTTATTTAAACTTCTCCTCGCTTCCCTTGTGCTCTCTATTACTCCCTCTGACAAGGGAATATCACCATGCTCTTTGCCGAAGCTTCAGCATCTTAAGGCTTTGTATCCATGGCAACATAGTCTTGACCTACTTGGGGTTGTTTTTCTCTACAACAAATGTTTGCTTCTCTTGTGTCAGATCTGTTACACCTTATTGTTCTTCAGGGATGTATTGTATGGAAAGATTTACTGAGAATCTTTCTTTCTTTCTGTCTGTCTGTGGCTGTCTGTCTCTCTCCCTCTCTCATTCACCAAGATCACATGATTACACAAATGCGGCAGTAAGGAATAAATGGATTTTCAGGGCTACCTCTCCCACACACATGTACACGACCCCTCCCCCTCTCTCTTTCTCTACGTAATTATTACAAATAAATCTGATTGACTTTTCAAAAGACTTTATAACAATTTTGCATTTACAAATGTGTTTGTTGTTCACCTCTGATTTCTTACTCTTGATCGGCATCACTTTTCTCCATTTTCTCTTTCTGTCTACAGATGACCTGCCCTGGCTTATATTTTTTAATTTGTTTATATACTTCTGTACATGTGTATCTAGTCAACACTTGCGTCACCGTATCACATGAGAAGTAACAGAAGCATTGCCAATTTCATCACTTTCAAAATTACTTTTCACTCTCTCAGGCCTTGTTCTAACATCACACAGTAAACTACACCACCCCTTAAACTCCCTACAAAAAAACAAATCCTGTAACAAAATGAAAACCATTTGATGTGTAGGTGAGGGTCACAGAGGATGTGAAAAGGGAGCTGTGAGAAACAAACGCCCCCATAGGGCACATACGTTACATTAGATACAGAAATATGAAGCTCACTACACAAGATGTCATTTGATTTCTTGCTGTGGCATTTCTAAACGTGGTTTCCTGTATCAAGCTTGAACAAGGCTCAAGGCAGGAAAGTTCATACGTTCTGCGCAAACACTATTTGACACTTGATCGCAAACAAACCCATTTTTTCCCTCCAGGATGCCCTATTACTTTCCCTGGAGCCTCCGTGCCGTGCGAGTGCAACCGCTGCTCTTGATACACAATATCCGCGCTTCGACTCGACTGCTCGCCTCGGTCGTGGGCTGTTCGCGAGCTTTAGAAGACTGTCACGTTCAACAGCATCCTCAAACAAGATTCGGTTGCATTTCTTGTTTGCTGTCTGCGCTATGGAGGGCACTTTTCTCCCATCATGAAGGCAATCCAATATGCCATCCTTTTCATTTAATCATGAGCATTGGTGTTTTCTTCTCTTTTTGTGTCCAGAGCCAAACTGCTTTCCGCCCTAATATAAAATAAAGACTCTGCTATCAACTTCAGTAGGAATGGCACAAAAATGAGTTTCGATTACCAGTTGCCAGTACTTCCAAGTGTAAAAAGAAGTTGAAAAAATAAGTTTCATATTGTATGGTGTATATCTATGTAATGTCCTATTACTGAATCTATATTTTGTAATCTCACATAGTATATAAAATAATGCAATTACTTGTCACCATATTGAACATCTTCCCTGTTTTTGGAAAAATTCCTTTCTTCACATTACCTTTCAAAAATATTTGCCCACAGTTTGTTATAGCCTTATCACAATATCAGTTAACACTGCTCTCCCTGAGGGCCCTGCATGCAATTTGATTTTATCCAAGGATTTAATATGTATATAAAGAATGCTCAGGGGATCCAAGAAATGTGGTCTTCACCAGCAGGTGGTCTTTATGTACAGGTTGCTTTCATACTGGAATGTACTATCTAGAAAAAGAGAAACATTAAAAGCAGATTTTTAAACACACAGTGTCTGTCCAGAGCTAAAAGAGCATTAACTCTGTGGTAAAGTATATGAGTTACCGCCCTTTTGGCTCCAAACAGAAGATATGGTCTTTCTATACAGGTGGCCGCTAAAGCAAGTTTTGCTGTTCCACATACAGTCAAACCTGTCTATAGTGACCTCCCAAGGGAAACACAGAAAGTGATCTTTATAGACAAGTTCCTTTAGGACACGTTTCAGTGAGAAACCTTTTTCAAGAGAAAACAAAATATGTGGTCTTTGTAGACAGGTGGTCACTAAAGCAGATTTGACTGTAAGGTTGCTCCATTTCCTTCCCTAGATGCTCATCGTCTCCTCCTTGAACCCCGTCTGTGATCTACTTCTCTAATTGGCCAACGATAATGAGAACAGTAACCCAACGCTACCTACGAAGATAACGCAATTTGGAAGGAGCGGGACCTAATCAATTAATCCCGGGATCTCATACCTTCTCATCATATCAATTTACATTGATTTATTGGCCTGCTTCTATCTATGTGTAATCGATCAGGGTGTTTTTATTAGGGTCATACAAACAAGGAGCTATCAATGATGTTTTCCTTTAAAAACTTATCTGATTGACTGATCAGCATCTCATTTTTTTAATTCAATTTATCCCAGAGTCTGATAGGTACTCCTGAAATTAATTGCATTGATTTATTGGCTGGCCGCTAGTGTAATCAATCCTTATTCTTATTAGGATCGTTCAGTAAGACACAAATTAGTATTCATTTTTAACTGATTTTTCTTTTATATATGATCTGCATCCCATTTTTTTTGTTTACTGTAATCATTTTCTGATGCCCACTTGCATTAATTTACATTGATTTTAATATTGTCTCACTGCTATATGTAATACATCAGGTTTCTTATCAGTGCTATTCAGTGCTATTCATACCAAGACAAATCAGTGATATACTTTTTTTAAATTAAATTGATTTCTAATTAATTAAAATTTCAATTTTTTAAATTGTAATTCATTAATTTCAGGATCTGACTCTGTATATCAATTCTCATTGATCTATTTGCTTGCTGCTATGTGTAATCTATAAGATTTACTAATTAGAAAGATTACGATTATGATTTGAATATTACTACTAGTGCGTTTTAAACAGGAACCAATTTCTGTTAGGATGGGGATGTAAAAGATCACAATGAGCATGTGTTGTGGTTGGGGTTTCCCTGGGTGTGTGTGTGTTAGGGCTGTGCAAAACAGTGTAATGAGGTACCCGAGTACACTCCCAGGCTCACAGGCGAATACTCGAATATTTGGACGCCATGTTTTTTATAATTTTTTTTAATTTTTTTTAATTTTTTTTAATTTTTTTGATTTTTTTTAAAAAATTTTAATTTTTGGATTTTTTTCCATTTTTTTCTTTTTTTGCCACTACCATACCACTTGGAGTTTCTCAGGTCCCTCGCTGAAAACGCATGCAACTTTACTTTGATTTGCAGTTGAAGGCACCGATTTAATAAGAATAATAACAGTAAACAATGCTGTTTTAAAAACCAAAAATGGCAGAATAATCCATTTTCCTCCCAAGTCCAAACAGAAATCTGGACATTTGGTCCCAGTTTCTGAAAGGTGAGTTTGACAGTGCTTGAGTTGGGAAACATTTTTACCGACGGTACCATGCCAGCGGACGCCGCTCTCCCTGGCACGGGTAAGCGTGGGCCTGGAAATTTTTTTTTTTTTAATTTTTTGCGGCCTAATATTCGGGTACAAGAAATCGTACCCGAGTAGTTGTCAACCGTGCGGGTACTCGAGCATTCGACTACCCGTCGCAGCCTTAGTGTGTGTGTTTATGGTCGTTGATGTTTCTTTTCTTTTTTTAATACTTGCCTTGCTGCCCACAATAAGTTAATTTCAAGTTTATGAAAAGGCAGATATTACAAAAAAGTCTCAGTTCTTCATATTCAAGCATGCAATTAAAAAAAATATCAAAAGGAAAATGAGTTCCAATGAAAAAAGGTTAAATCACATCACAAGTTTCTAATAAATCATTATATAGGTATCAAATTGCATCAATTAACATTGCTTGTGTAACCGCCAAAATAAATTTGCTGATTGAAACTACTCCTCCAAATTTGACACTAGTCAACTTGAAAGGGCATAAGACATTGATGAATCTTTGGCTCGCATATATAGGCAAAATGTAATTCATCCTATCCATGTATTAATGGTTATTGTAAATGTTCACATTTAATTTGGCGTCAAGCTTACCCTAAATGAAATTTCAAGGTTTTCGCCACCCCAGACATCCATTCCTGCATCGTATGTTCCAATCTCCTCAAAATAGGTTTTGTCGATGGAGAACAAGCCTCCTGCCATTGTGGGCGATCTAAGGGATAGAAAATAAAAGAAGGGATTGATAGATAGATAGATAATTTATTGGTCCATATTCAAAACATAGAAAATTGGTCTCCACTGGCAGCATATAAAACAAAATACAAAGTAGTTACAAAATAATTGATAAACGCTTAGGTGATTACGTCACATAATGTACATAAATTCACACGAGATCATGACATTAACAAAAAAGCACAAGTATAAATTACATAGTAATAGGGAAAAGTTAAGAAAGAAGTCAACATTTAAAGATTGAGAAGATAGAAAAATGTCGTAACGAGACTAGATTGAGGAGCAAAAATAGTAATAAGAGAGAGAGAGGGGAGAGGGGGAGAGAGACAGAGAGGGAGGGGAGAGATAGAGAGAGAGGGAGAGAGAGAGAGAGAGATAGGAACGAAAGGTGCACATGGTGGAGGAGGTAAAGGAGAGAAGAGGATATAAATAGAGGGAGGGGAAAGAAAAGGAAAAGGAAGGGGGACGAGTTGTACATTTGATGTACAGAGCCATGACAACATGAATAATTGAATGAGGGAATGAACGACAGACCTGCTACATATGAATAATAAATCCTTTTCATTAGCTGTGAGTTCATAGATTGGACTAGTTCATAGAAACCCGACTCAATACTCTAATGGATAGAATATTGGAAAAATGTTGTGCCATCGTGGGCACTCTGAAGGATAAATGACAAAAGGATCTGGATATGTACAGAGCCATGACGGCATGAATGATTGAATGGATATCGTTTACAGATATATATAACAAATCCTTCCATGTATTAATAGGTGAAACAAGGTCATAGAAAAAACCCTCAATATTGCAGATGTAATAAATAGGAAATTTGAAAAAACAGTCGCTGTCACAAAAAGTGATCTGAGAAGCATGAGAGAGAGAAAAAAAGGTAAAGATAAATGTTTAAGAGCAAGACACCCACATGAATAAAAGAGCGAATGAGCAGTTGAACAGTTGAATCAAATGTACAGAAGTACAAGTAGATATTGGCTAAAGTAATGAATTCTTTATGGTATCCAGGAGTTTATACAGGGAGACAGATCTAGTTCATAATAGCATGAATCGATACAGCCAATGTGTAATGGCTGAAAACTGCAAAAATGTGCTGCCATCGAGAGACAGAGAGAAGAGAAAGAAGATAAATGATCACGAGCAAGACAGAAAACATGAATCAATGATTGATCGAATAAATAACCCCCCCCCCCCCAAAAAAAAAAAAAAAAAAAAAAAAAAAAATGTAACCCCATTTCTTAGGACAAGGAAATAATAATAATACATAGGTAGAACTACTTCATAAAACACAAGTCAATATTGCCAATATTTAAGCTGAGAAATTTGAAAAATTTGCTGCCACAATGGATGATATTGAGAATATATGAAAGACGGAAAGAAGAAGGTAAACTTCAGGTGCAAGACAAACAACATGAATGACTGAAAGATCAAACAAATGAAGTCGATAAAATAATGAATTCCCTTCGATATCAGGGAATAATATATGGATCTAGTTCATAAAGACACAAGTCGATACTGCTGATATTGTACTAGCTGGAAACTGGACAAATGTGCTGCACAGGAGCGATCAAAAGCCTACGATATATATTAGAACCATGACAAATGAGATGAATCAATGACTGAACAAATTCAATGGATGAACTAGATTGATCTACATGTTGTTCTAGAATTCAGTCAGATGGAACTAGTTTATAATATCACAATTCAATTTTGTTGATATGAGACGGACAGACGGCCTTAATTGGGCTAGAAAATTGAAAACAAATGTGCAGTGCCCTGGGATAAGTTAATAAACCAAACATTTATGGCTTTCACCAATCGCAAATATTCAATGTTTCATTTTGCAGCATGAAAGGCACATGGAACTGGCCCACTGGTAAAATTTACCAACCCTTAATGAGCAGAAGACTTTCTGGCTAGTATGTAAGTACATTTTTTTTCTCCAGAAGACAGATTTTTCAGAAGACAGCTTCTCTGACAGACAAGTTTTCCAGAATACAAGTACAGTGAAAACGTAGCTTTTGAGCTATATGTACTGAGTTAGAATGCAATGCTTATTAGATTGTGAGCTGTGATGAATGAAGAGATCTAACTAGGTTACGATTTAATGAACAGAATTACAAATTGTATTAGCTTGATTGTAATGAAAAAGACTAACTAATGAACCAGTTGAATACACTCTCCAAATTAACAAGGTTATGTCAAGTCAAATTTGGGGGAGTGAATTAGAAGTCTCTGAGGTTAATTTGTAGTGGATAAATGTAGAAAACACAACAGAGTCTTTTAACTACATAGACAGCTTTTAGAAGAGCTGAAACAAACTAATATAGGGAGAGCATATATATAGAAAGCTATTTGAAAAGAAGTAACAAAATATTATTAGAATGAGGGCCGGAGACAATCTGATATTTGTAAATGTAGGATAACTTTCTTTCTCCCTTGGTAACTGTCTTTTCTTTTCTGCTACTCATACTCTCAGTCTCAACATCACTGATATCAGCCATTCAATGGTTGTAGAGAGAGAAAGAGAAAGAAAGAAAGAGAAAGAAAGAAAGAGAAAGAGAAAGAGAGAGAAAGAAAGAAAGAGAAAGAAAGAAAGGAATGAAGAGAGAAAGGGAGAGTGGAGAGAGAGAGAGAGGAGAGAGAGAGGAGAGAAAAGGAGAGAGAGAAAAGGAGAGAGAGAAAAGGAGAGAGAGAGAGAGAGAGAGAAAGAAATAGAGGAGAGATGAGAGTTAGAGAAAAAGAAAAACAAAAGAGAGGGGAGATACAAAGATACAGAGAGAAACATACAGACAGACAGACAGAGGGACAGGTACAGAGACAGATAGAAAGAGCTCACAAAAAATACGAGAAATATAGGAGTAAAATGGTCACGGCCAACCAACAAACCTGAACAAATACCCTTCACGTATCTTATTATTGAATTTCCTTCACATATCGAGGGCCAGGGGAGGAAGAAAATATGCTTCCAAGCCTTCCATACCTCACATTAAAAATATCTTGCTTTGATGGTCTCACATTATAGATCTAGATATCTTTCATGGACACATTTTCTTGATGACAAATTATTTTCTAGAATTATTATTATTATTATTATTATTTTGAAGCACCTTTCATGATGGTTTAATGACACATGCTGTGTGACAATTGATCTGTGTCAATGTCCTACATTAGCCGAATCTAATCGTCAATCCCGGATCCAACAGCAAACCTAACCCTAACCCTAACCCTTATTCTTAACCTAACCTAAAAACAATTACAACCCTAATCCTAATCTTAACCCTAAACCTAACCCCAAAACCGATTGCAACCATAATCCTAACCCTTACTCTTAACCTAACCTAAAAACCGATTGCAACCATAATCCTAACCCTTACTCTAAACCTAACCTAAAAACCAATTGCAACCATAATCCTTATCTTAACCATAACCTTAAATCTAAACCTAACCTAAAAACCAATTGCAACCCTTTTCATAGTCCTAACCGCAGCCATATAATTTTGATGAAATAAAGCCTGAAGCAATCATCGCAGGAGCAAATGTTGGATCACCTCCATGAAGAACTTCAGTGTCAACTTGAATAGTGGCTAGAACTTAGATGAATCTGAAATATCTGCCTTTTTATGTAGGAAAGAATACATATTTATTCTCTTTAAATCATATTTAAACAAATAATAAGCAAGAACCACAATACTTTTTATGAAGCACAAGACTTTCACAATGAAATTACTATTACGAGTTTCAATTACTATCTTCTTTGATGCAGACAATCAAAGTAGTTTATAGTTCCTTGTAATAGCTTAATGGCTAACAAAAGAGTAAGACAGACATTTTATTATCAAAGTTCAGATAATAACAAATGAACAATGTATAGAAACCAGGACTCAACTACACATAAAAACAAAGGTGGCTCTCAGGGTTCAGAAATCAATCAAGTATCTGTGAGTTTTTAAAGGTGAAGTCCATTCTGAAATTAGGTTGGTTTTGAACGAAGCTGAAAAATGAGAGGAACAGGACAGCGAAAGTTTGCGCAAATGTACATGAGAAATTCATGAATTTTTAAGTTGCGATCAATCAAACACAGGTTAGCAACACTGTGACATGTCTTGCGAGATCCCGTCCCATTTCCTCTGTACAGAAAATTTCATAAACTCTTATTTGCTCACCTTTTAATGAATATCATAGATTTATATAAATGGAAATATTCTTAAGGCCAATGAGTGAAATTTTGGATTATTTCAGTACAGAGCAAATGTGGAGTGTAGGATTGAGAGTGGTAAACTGTTGCCCAAAAAGTTGGAATAATGTTTGTTTACCATTTGTCCATGAAATGGTTGATCAATAAAGCTCGGAGAAGAGGTACACTTTATCTATAAAGAATAAACCATATCACAAACATCATTTCATAGAGAGAAGTACAAAATAAAAAAAATAAAAAAATAGTTCAACGTTATGTGTAACAGTGAAGATCGAGTATCATTCAATTGCTCCATCAAATTCTTCAACACTTGTTCTGAAATTCCAGTGCACATACAGTACGTATTTGAAATGACAAGCCTATTTCGACTTCACTATGCATTGCGAAGCTAAATACAGCTGCCAAATTTCCATGGGATATTGCAGGCTTTTCACAGGTTTCCATTTGTTCCACGTGTCTGCAAAATTGATTTACCAATTATGGGTAACTCATTTTACTTGCAATCAATGGGCAAATCCATATTTTCACAGATGCACACTGCGAAAACACTCTAGAATTACAACCATTAACAGCAGGTGTTGGAATACAGCAATGAACAGATGATATAGATAGTGTGCTAACTAACAAATTAGCACAATAAAAAGTTTGTTTTTTGTTTTTTCCTTCTTTTATTTGGCATTGCTAAAAACAAAAAGTTAAGAGGGACCTCGTACAAGATCCAAATATAATTTCACTATATACATGGACTGTTATACTTTGTCTTTGTGAAG